TAGACCACAATATAAATAAGGGGATTCAAAGATTCAACGAGATTCAGATAGACATTTTTCACTTCACGAGACAATTGTATTATTTTGTGTGTACTCAGATGTGTTTATTCGCATTCATCATTGTACATTATTAATTGGAACATTGTACTAACTGTGTACCAATACAAGTTATTCCCCTACTCTGTAAGTTGATGACTGTAATTATATTTCTTTGGTTTCGTAATTATATTAATACTTAAATAAATCGAATTAATTGTAATTAGCAACTGTTTTGAGTATCGTATTATTGCTATTGTATTTCTCATATGATATCGTTCTTTGTAATGCACTGTTTTGAACGAGCCATAAAATTAAGATAAGAGATTAATTTCTCACTACAGAAGGCTGTGCGTAACAACCAATTTTAGCTGCTTAAATGATTAAAATAAAACAAGAAAAGCATCTTATTAAAAAAATATATGTTTTAATTAGTATAATATGTATTTTAGACATTGAGCATTTGTGTGTGCATTCTCAACCTACGGAAATGTATAAATGAGTGGCCCGAAAGGTGAATTCAGAGCAGGGTGTAACCCACAGAGCAGGACGCCACCAGAGCAGGCAGACTTAGAGGAGTTTAATGGGAAAGTCTGTAAGGGGGAATAACAAAATGAGTTTACTTCACTGGGTGCAACCAATGCTACTGACTTCACATGCATGGGCGCCCGCATGTAGGGGCAAGGTGGGGCACTTGACACCCCCCCCCCTGGATTGATTGGATAAAAAAATGTATTGAAGTAAAGAGAAAATAAAGAGAAAGTAACTAAGCTGATGTCCTGTCGGTTCGTTCCCCATACAAATACGCTACAGTAAATTAAAACTATATTAAAACATTACTAAAATTTTTGCCCCCCCTTTTTCCCCCCCCCCCCCCGGGAAGGTTATCGTTTCCCCCCCCCCCCCCGTAGAAAGTTTTCTGCAGGCGCCCATGGTCACATGCTAGAGGGATTTTGATTGAGAAGGAATGGAGAAGTGGTGGAGTAGCATAACAGCATAAGGATTTTGGTTTCTTAACTCGGGACTTCTTTAGAGTTTATTATGTAAAACAAAACTGTTGAATTACAGAACTAAGTGAAAAACGTGTAATAATTATAAATGGAATTTTTTAAAATATTAGTTTATCAATTTTTAAACAGTACGTCCATTCGGTAGATTTCAATTATGTTAGTGTAAAGCACCGATTTCTACTACAAAGAAAAAAAAACTGCATTCACTCTGCTTTCGTGGTTTTGTTTTAATACTAACATTATTTTCAGGTAAACATAATCCTAATAATTTAGAATCCTTGGGATAACAGAAATATAGTTTAAAAAATCATACTGATAACGGAATCACTTAAATATTATTTTTTTCAAGTTGGGATAACTCTTAAATGTCTTAAAACAAAGGTCTCATTAACACTCCAAATGCGGAAGTAAGTCTATCGTTAAATTTTACATTGTATCTTGTTTTGAATTAAACCATATGGTAAGGTGCATTTTGAAACATCCAAATAGTACGATAATTTGAGTTCTGATCGTGTGTTCGTAAACTATATCTACGTAGTCTTTCAAGGAACTTGGTCGAAAAAACTCACACGGTCTTGTAATTTTGGAATTTTATTGGTTAGTCAGTTGTTTGATATGCATAGCAAACGGAGCTATCGTCAAATAGCCTTATTCATTGTATTGTTTTTACGTATCCTAAAGTAATCTATTCGGCCCAAATGACAGTGAATTTTGAATTTATTGTAGGTTTTAATAGTATTATATTAAGGCTTTAGCTCTAGGCAGCTATCAATTCTTATTTCTTATCAGCCAAAAAAAATATTGTCTAAATGAAAAACAAAATGTTGCAAGATTTATGTCACCGTCATAAATGAGAGTTAAGCGATTTTAACCTGTCTTTTGTCCAGAAGACCAGGAGAGCTCAAGTCGATACACGACTCAGTGTCGCAGTGCAACACACTGTGCGATCATTTTTCCCCTATGTTTTTAATACATGTGTTGATTTAACTTCCGCGTCTTACTTATTTAGTGAATTCACTGACAGCTGAATTTGGTACAAGATCATTGATATAAATGTACGGGTTCAGACACGATAGCTTATTTGGAATGACTCTTAGCTCATCCCTTTTCAATAATTATTTTGTTGTGTGTTATTATAGTACATAACACTGAATGAAATATACATCAAAATAATCCTCCAAAATGTGTATAACAATATGGTGTTAGCTCATGTTAGGCATATTTTCCATGATGTCTGTAAGTAACTTTTTCTATACATTGTACTAGCTTCCAATACAGTACGCAAACCTTGTATCCGGGTTGTGTAAGGAAGGAAAATACATGTTCAAATATGTCACGGCCCCAGATTCATGTAGTTAAATTTAGTTTTTTTTTTCACACTCCACTGGTTTACAATTAAACTTAAACAGTGCTTCTAAAACGGATTATACAGTTCGACCTCTTTGGAACTGAGAGTAAAAAAAAAAATAATTAGACGAATACAAATTATGTTTGCGAGATAAGAAATAGTAATACATGTGTTTGAACTTAAATTCAATGTGAAGGATTCTTTAAAACTATAAAGGCAAGTCCCTAGTGAACTCTTTTCAAAAAAGAGAACGATTTAAATAGCTTTTCAACATATGTGGTTGTTAATAAATCTATTTTGATTATCTAAAGGACTTAATTCAACAATTTCAAAAGTTCACATAACCTTAACCAAACAACTGTGGTCGGCCGAAAAAACCGGCCGACATTCTCGTTCTGTACTGTGGAGGCCGAAAAATCGGCCGATTAAAAACACTGTCTGAAAGCAACTTCCAATCCAATATTTAACCATAATTATAGCCACTTCCTTTTATTCATAGTTAAATCATCTTCCGGTTCAAGCTGTTTCGTGGTAGCGGGTAAATAAATACCTTTTAATCGGAGTTTTATATCGCCTTTCTTTTTTAAAGCAAAAATGGATGACGCTATGGCTGGGCCTCCAGTGCAAGAACTAATAGAAATATGTTTGAAAGATTTTTAGGAGAGTTTTTAAGTGATACTGATGTTGATTTTAACATTCCTCATGAAGATATCAGTTAAGATTATTATTTTCGTGAATTGTTTACTTGTTTTAGTGATACTGAAGTAGGCCTACTGAGGCTACTGTTAGACTTGGAGCTAGGCCCTTAGGTTGCGCAAGGACTGACTGAATTTTAGTCACAGAATCTACAGATTATAGTTCAGAACTAATAAATGTTATAGTTAAACGAACCAAATCAGTTCGACGGTTCCTTTTTACATGTTTACTAGTCAATAACAACTATTTTGCCTGAGATTTTGTATTTTGTACTTGGTTTTAGCAGTGGTCCCAGTTTCTTATATAAATGACCTAATATTACTAAAATTGCTTTCAGATGTTTAATTGCTAACAAAACCTTAGCAAACTATACATTTTCTGATAGATAAATGAATTGGCTACAACATTTATTTGCGTTTTAAGTGTATCTAAAAACATTAATGATGTTATGAGCACTTGAAAGCAAGACATTTTGTAGATTGTGTTTTCTTGAAAATTCCAAGGTCAAGGACAATGAGCAAAATTGTTTACGGGTGGGCAATACGGCCAGCTTTATCCCCATCCATTTACCTTTCTAAAAATATGTACTTATTGGGGTATTGTATCAATATTTCTATGTCATTTAATGCAATTTCAAATGTCACCCAAATGCTCCGAAAAGCTCAAGGACAATGAGCAAAATTGTTTACGGGTGGGCAATACGGCCAGCTTTATCCCCATCCATTTACCTTTCTAAAAATATGTACTTATTGGGGTATTGTATCAATATTTCTATGTCATTTAATGCAATTTCAAATGTCACCCAAATGCTCCGAAAAGCTCCACCACCACAGAATAATGCATGCTACAGTTCGTGGGTTAAATAAATAATAAAACAATATACAAATACATTATAAAAACGGGCTTTTCCAAAAAATTACAAAAATTTATATAATAAATTTGCCCAAAAGCTTCAGTCATTTAACCAAAAAATTCGTCGGTGCCCATGAAATACAATGATGTATGACTTGAGGAATATACTAAAATTTCTGCAAGTAAGTGCTACGTGACACAAAGGATTAGAGAAGGAGATGTTGAAGTGAAAATTCAATGTCCATATCATTTTCCATTTCTGAGACATTCACAAAGGTCACTCAGGGGTCGGTGGAGGTCACTATTGACCTAGTGATCATGACAGGTAGCATTGTCGACTGGGAGGGTATGTGTGCAAATTTACAGATCCATTGAACAATCAGGATGTGAATCAAACTTGATCTGCAAGATTCGATCTGCGCAAGTCACTAAAGCATCAGTGGTTCTCAAAGGTGATCTACTGATCATGATGGTTTGTTTTGTCAGTTGGTGGGGGGGGGGGCGGGGGAGGGAAGCATGAGAACAAAGTTTTAGCTCTATTGTTCGTGACGTGGTTCAAATTAGAGTTACATTATTTAACCGAGACAAATAGTAAACAAAACAAACAGCCAACATCGCAAGCTAAATAAAAGCGTTTAAAAGTCCAATCGATTCGTATTAAAATTTTTAAAAAATAAAATTGTTAGTGAACGAACGAAAACTCATTTATTTTATTCTAACATTTCTGTTCAAAGAGGATCGAATTAAATCTTCATTTCATTTTTTAAACCATGTGGAGACCTTAAAAAAAAAACAAAAGAACTTGAGAAGCATTTTAAACGTCTTGTAAGGATCTCTCTTTGAAACGTGCTATGGCTTAGAAAAGAATGAATACATTTTTTAAGGTCTAATGATTTTATTCACTGTATTTTTGTCAACTACATTTAGTCAGGATTGCACTTCCTGTTTGTGATCATTTCTAGCGAGGATACCAGGCGTTAAAAGTTTTTTTTTTTTTTTTAAATTGACAATTGCAATTGCTTTTGTGCAATTTTTGACACTAACTTTCATCACTGTGTTTAAATATTCATGAAATAGAGAAAAATTATGTTTCGTGTATGGTTCTGGATTATGTTTTAGTTAAAATGTGGTTCACTAACTAAATGATCAGATAAAACGAGTCTATGACTGCGCTATATTTTTAAAGTTATTCGTCTTTTTTTGTTACTGAGCCAATAAGTACAATGTGTTTTATTGCATATGACACTTGTTAGGAGATCTCTTTCGACAAAGTTGATACCCCAAAAACAGTAAGTGAATAAATAGTAGCTTTAATTATATTTGTCTATAATATATTTATTTGTTTGTACTTATTATTTTTTTTTATTAAACCCAGGGAGGAAAACTATTTACAGATATATAAATTATATATATATATATATATATATATATATATATATATAAAATAATGTAAACATTACGATAGATTTTTTTTTTAAAAATTAAAAGTGTTTGAGGTCTACAAAACTTAAAACAATTATGTATATGGATTCTTTATGCTATCATTGTTTGTCTCCTATTATATCGTAATTACAATAATCTATGTTAGGTTCTAATTGTCCTATTTTGATGGATGCCATGTAAAATATTTTTACACTTTCTGGTCACCAGATGGTATTTAACCCATTGCTATCTTGCAAAAAGGAACACCTATTCTTCTTACACTTTCATTTTACCCCTTTTTGTACAGCCAGCAGCCCAGCCCTTGCAGTTCAAGTATTTTAATCTCTCCTTCCGTACCCTCTATCCCCATTTTACATTCAGGCTACCAAAACTTTCTCCAACTTTTTCCGTCCAGCATCGACACCCTTATTCCGTACCTTCTCAACCGTTATACCACCTAAGTTGCCATTGTCAACTTCCCCATAGGCTCTCTCTCTCCTGTTACACTTTTAGCTTCCACTTTACTTCTTAACTTCTCATCTACACTCAGGCCCACTGAAAATTGCCGATTATTCTCTCTAAATCCATTTTTTTATAAAAAATTATCAGTTATATATTTGGGAAGATAAAAAAATTGGTTAACATTTAACTGTTACAAAATAGACTAATAAATGTTTATCTATATGCTTCTCTATGGGTTAGTGGTAGGGCGACTACTCTGATCCATTATTGTAAGTATATAAAAGTACTTTTCTCAAAGGGGAAACATACTAAGAAAGAAATTATTTACTTCTTTCATGTTAATCCTATAACATTTTGGTAGCTATCAACCAAATAATTAAAGAAACAACAAAGTATGTAAATAGAAATGCGAAAATATAACTTTATAGATGAAGTGCTTTGTAAACTGCGTTAACTAGTTTCCCGCTGGAAGTAAACAGATGGGAATCTTAAGAAGAAACACGTAAGCATCCTAAAGAAACATTGCACCAAGAAAAGCACAGTGACGACAAATCAGCCATATGCTTTTGATTGACCAACAATGTTATTTTTTTAAAGATCATCGCAAAGTTTTATGAGAACTGTGTTTTTCATGAAGGAATATGTAGTCCGAGGGCACCAATTGAATGCGATATGTTAATATTTTCTATGAGCAAGGATAGCTCTCTTAAAGAAACAGTCTGCCAGTATTGTCTGAATGTTGCCAATATGAGGATAGATTATGGCATTAATTTTTTGCATCGTGTCCACCTTGGTGCCTAGTTCCTTCAGCAATATCCCCGCTGGCTTCAGGTACATTTCCATTTCCTGGACTCTTTAACTTCATCGGCACGAGTACCTCTTGACATTTTTGGCAGCGTGTGCCGAAAATCTACTGAAAGCATAAATGTCAGCCCCCCCTACCCATCCCCCATTCTATAATCAACAGACGATCATTGTCCAGATCTATTATAGATATGCCAATCACTAAAAAGGCTCTTCTTTGGGTCTGAGTGCATACGTTCATACCATAAAAACACTACCTGGAAGAGATCTAGCATCGACATTGGTCTTTTTTTATGTTACACTCTGAATGATTATTGTCGATTAAGTGAGCGACAACCAACTGTAAGAGTGGACAGGCAGGTCACCCAGCAGTAGAATAGTTACACTTAACGATGAATCTACGGCCAAAGCGATCTGCCGGCTATACCATATATCCAAGAGAATCAGATTTGTTAGAAAAGAGTTTCCAGTCCCAAAAGAAAAAAAAAGAGATTTCCTAATTCTTTAATTACGCAGTTTAAAATAAAGTTATAAACGTACATCTGCTCCATCGTAAGGAGTGATACTTTGGCGTTAATGTAACTTTGCAAATGGATGGAATTGTAATTCTTCCTCGTCCAGTAACTATTTCCAGCATCCAGTTTTAGTTCGTTCTGGAACAGGTAGACAGGAGCTATCGATTTTTTTTCCCAAAACGATGAAGCAGCTAGTTTTTAAGTGTAATCAAAAATGTATTTTACATTTTATTGTTGCAACTATTAGTGATGTTTGTAGATCTAAAAATCTGTAAATAATTTTGAAATTTAGTGACAGTTTTAGGGCTCAGACAAGGTACAGAAAGCAAAACTCGTGACACAAAGGTTCTCGGCTTGTTGGAATATTCTTTTATAAGATATGCATGTAAGATCCTGCTCTTAGTCTTGTTCTAGAAGATCAAGAGCTTTCAAGCTGATCTGTAGAAATTACGATGAACATAACCTTCGACATTCCTGAGGGCCTGGAAAGACGTTGGCCTTCTCACTTGAACAAGTATTAGCCTCAAGTAGAAGCTGTCTTTCATGTAGACAGTAATTACTCCACTGATAGCATTAAAAATGTGTGTTCCTCATGTAACAACCATACATCGGCTTGCCCCGATAGTATGTTTTTTTATATTTTTATTTCCACGGTTATTATTGAGGAATATCGGAAGGACGTGGATAACATTGTTTTGTTTGCAATATATATTTTGACAATTCACCATGTGGACTGCTAGATGAACCACGGTGTGGGGTAGAGGGGGGGGATTCCTTAATTGATTCATTGCCAATAGTTCACGTTGATGTTGGCCTTGAATGTTCAACACAAAAATGTCCAATATGGTACCTTCCACCTATTTTTCAACCATATATTCCACTGCCGGCTTCTATGTATGTAGATACGGTATCCGTTACTACCTATTTTTACTTCCTTAACTAGCTGCTTGGGGTACTTCTATGGTCAGTGTCCGTCTTGCAAGCCCCAGCCTTTATAAATAAGAGCTCCACTTGGTCCATGATCTATACTTGCTTTAACAATCTCAAAAAGGCTTTTGGTCGGTGTCAGGATCATGAATTTTCGCACATATGCAATAATGATGACCACTTGCTTGGACTTTTTCTCAGGCCGGACCTGTATGTGCACATGTGGAAGACCTCATTTCTGACATTCAATGGAATACACGTGGAACAATACACATCCGAATACATATTGCCTTTAGTTAGAAATGACATGAAACATTTCACCTCCAAATGGAATATTCTTGAAACATTTTCGCGCATATCATGGGAATTCTGTTGTTCGAATAATTTCACTTGAATCACTGTCGAATGTTATTTAAGAAATCTGGCCTGAGATAGGTTCCGCTGTATATCATGGCATCGTAAGTCTTTTTGAACGAGTTAAAGAAAAAGGTAACAGTGAAGCTTTCGAAACATTGTTGTCATTTCCGTCAGTACATAATGCATCTTTCAGGTACATTAAATTATCTACACGGAGTGCTGTCTGGTAGGTCTATAGAAAGAGCAAACGTTTATATTCAACGTTTGTATATATGTCAACAACGAATCAACATTGAAATCCCATGAAATGCTGTTAACTGTTAGATGTCATTGAATGAGTTGCGAAAGGATCTTTTGATCAAAGATCTACGGATGACTATGGTCGATACGTTAAGGTAACGAGTTTATTCACTACCTTTGCCGGCTATTTCGACTATCTCTTTTCTGGTATTGACGAAACCTTACTTTAATCAGGTGTAAATAGACCTGTACAGTTTTTGTCTTGGCTAGAGGATGTAAGTCCATCTAATGGGAATGCTAGTGGTACAAATCTCCACAGAAATTGCAATCTATTAAATCTAAAGCATATATATATAAAATTTAGAAGAGGGTGAAACATTTAAAATTTTATTTAATCAGTGCAAGATGATAATCAAACACTTACAAATTGTACATTACAGATGTACTTTGGATAATATAAAAACATGCTTTTAAATGAGTAATACTACATAGAAAATGATCATATTATCTTAAATTTAAATAGCAGAAATATGTATTGACTTTCTTGATATTAAAAAATATTTTATGAATCATTTCCATCTTTTCTCTTTCTTGAGCTATACAGTCGTGAAACGTAGCTCAATATGCATCTTACTGTCATTGTGTTTGTAACTCTTTGCATGAGTTCACATGTCACTTATTCTGGTAAGAAGCATCTTTAATTGTAATTTGTAAATTTTTTTTTGCATGTAATGCGAAATCATTCTAATCAAAGTAATGCGTACATCAATATCTCAATTCAATATCATAAGTTAACAATAATAACAGCAAGCGAGAAAACAAGATAAAATACCGTGTGATACACTTTCGACTGCCTTTTTAAGAAACGTATTTTTGTGCAACACTAGCACTAATACACTTTCCTTCACTGTTAAATGTTTGATACATTAATAAATTTAAAAAGTGCTTCAGTTATTTAAAACGGTATAATTTAATATATTTGACCACTCCTTACACACATGACTTCGTATTATTCTTCAGCTTGTCCATCTGGTTGGTTTGGTTCAAACTGTACGTTTCAGTGTCACTGTACATCGAACTGTACCACCCCAACAACAGAATGTCCAAGCAATTATGAATGTGATAAAGAATGGTTTGGAGCAGCGTGTCAGTACAGTAAGTCTTTTGGTTTTAAAAAGCGATTGAAAACTTGGTTTTAACATTTATAAGGTTAAATTGGACAATCAAGTTAATTTTTTTTTATATTGGTAATGTGATGTGATACAATAAAATAAAGGCTGATGATTAGGCTTTAATTAGAAGTATATTTTAAATTTTAGGCATACTATATTTTAAATCATTTTGCTGCATAAATATTAACTCTTGATATTAAAATATGCAATTTATTCAATATTTTTTTTAAATACATCATTTTAAAAACTCGACATAAGATTTAATTCAATCTCGATTCAAAGTTAAGAAGAAAAAAAAGTACATCTTAACAAAAAATGTTCTTTTAATGTTTCCAAAAAATTTAACTTGGTGTGGTCTTTATATGTTAGATATAAAAAAATAAAGTGAAATCCCTTCTAGTCTTAAAAGTGTAATATTACTAAACATACTTTGCAATTTCTATAGTTAAGCGTATTTTCAGAGAATGGTAAAAATAATTACTTGTATACATATTTTAATTAGAAGCTATGAACCTCAAAAATGCTTTAATAATACATAAATGGTAGTCTATTGGTAAATAGAAATCAATTTTTACTAAATACTTTTTTCAATTTAACTTACGTATAGATAGCCTTGAGCACAAATGTTTTGCTTATCATAACATAGAAATAAATATGTGAAGCCACAATGATTTAGAGAAAAAAAGACACACTAAATGAATCGTTTTGACACTTTATCGTAGCTACCGTACCTGGCATCAATGGTGATATACCGTAATAAGTGTCTTTATGGGTAAAAAACGATTCATAAAACTTATTTCTAATAAAATTAAGTCCCGTCCCAATATGACATTGTCAATGCTACTGAAATGTCACATTTTGAGGAAGAAAAACAAACCTTTGATTCATTCGTGTTTGGGTGTCAGATCCTGAAAACAGAAAACGAAAGACACAAAGGTAAAAATCAATCATAGGATTACGTCGTTTCAGATGGATTTGGGGAAGGAATTGAAATGATAGTTCGTTCGTCAAAATTTGATCAGAGCATTTTAAACATTGGCTTCTTGCTGGGGTTGAATATGTCTGTGGGTGCGCAGATGGCTGATCATGCCAATTCTGTTACAAAATAATCTGAGCAGAAGATGCAAGGAATGGATAGGAACATTCCAATTACAGAGTTATGGTGGGCTTTTTTTTCCTCCTCTTTGTGGTCTCAAGCAGCTGTTCTGCTAGCTCATGTTGCATTGAGCCCTTCAGTATTGACAAGCGAAACAAGTCATCATTTTTAAGGAATGTTCCTTCGTGTCAAGGTAAATTTGAAATGCCTTCAAAGATGCTTTCAGTGTGTCTTTTGATCATTTGTATGTCTTGCAGAAGATCGCCTGCCCTACTTGAGTTGGCCATATGATTTTCTTTTGGGCCAGCGGTCGTCTGACACTTTTGCAACATGGGTCGCCCGGCGAAGCTGTAACTGCATAAATATGGTGTGTATGTTGGGAAGACCTGCTTGTGCGAGTACCTAAGGATCTAGCATCTTGTCCTAACATTTGATGCTAAGGATTTTTTGGAGGTTTAACGTGTGAAAGGGATTTAGTTTCATGGCATGGTATTGATAGACTTTCCATGTTCACTTGCAAATATTAACATTTAGAGCACAGCTGCCTCGTAAAACTTCGTTTGGTTTGGGTACTGATGCCTCGCCTTGCCAATACATAATTAGACTCTTTTTCTGAATGTTGGGCTGCCTATCGCAATTCGAATCTTCACCTTATCATCAGTGATTACTCTTTGGAACAGTGTGCTGTCACGGTAACAGTAGCTGTTTACAACTTAAAGCCTTTCGCCATTGAATTTGATGTTGGGTCCGATATGAGGTTTTCGTTGAGCTAGCTGTACAAGAGCTCAGTCTTCTTTGCATTGAAGGTAAGTCAAAAGTTTCTGCAAGCATCCGAGAAATTTGCAACAGTGTGTTGCATATCAGCCTTTAATTTAACGTTAAAGACATAGTCGTCGGCATACAGAAAGTCAGAGATGTTGTCTGTCTCGACCTTGTTATTAGCGTTTAGTGTCCTGAGATAAATACTTTATCATATTTTCTTCCATTTGTTGGTTCATTGGCAGCGGCGAGAGTGCATTTATCATCATCAAACTTTGTCTTTTTCACACACTTGTGATTCCTTTTCCCTTTTGGTCGTCTTTTTTTCGTTGTAAGTAAAGGTTGAGCTTGGTGATTATAAGAAGATGATCTTTCTAACAGTATGCAGAACATACAAGCTTGGTGACACGCACATCCTGACTTTACTTGATGTTATGTCAATGTTTTGAGCAAGTGTGTATGATATCAGTTTTGCCGACTACGCGTAGGAAGGTGAAAGACTATTTAGACAATTAGCCGTACATCCTGGGCGAAAGTCTCGAGCAAGAGAAGACTGTTTGTGTTTCAATGGTCAACGCCATGCTTTTTTACTACCCCATTCCAAGGTTTCCCCCGTGGCCCTTACGAGCATTAAAGTCGCTGCTGTGGAATATCAGTTATAACATTGTGAAAATCCTCATAGAACTTGGTATTTACTTTATTTGTGTTTTTCACCGTTGGAGCATAGCAGCTGATGATGTTGAAGTGTTTTCTTTCTGATAAGAGATAGGATTTAATAGTTATTACGACATTTTGACTCCACTTGTAAGTCCAGCCAGCGTGCTAATCAGTGCAGTTTTTAATAGCAATACCAATAAGAGCGTCACAACGTTGTACGCTTCCTCGGCAACTCCAAAAGAAGGTGTAACCAAAGCTAGACACCAGGACACATATTAATCATGGACTCATAAACATTTGAGATGAATATGAAATATAGCCAGTGTACAATCATGGAAAAAGAAAACGTGTCCATATACAAATAAACATTATTGCTGTTAATATCTCTTCAAGGATTCAATACTTGGAGTTTCGGGGAAATAGAGATAGTTGTGTCGACAAACAGAGTTTCAGCATGTGTGCTATGCAAGTACTTTTTTTCTAGTTATAAAATCATATTTTATTCAGGAACTATGATTTTTTTTTTTGCATGGTGGTAAGCAGCGAGAAAAGTTTATTCATCTGAGAAGCAGTGCTATTCTATTTGTGATTCCAGCTTTAACCAGTGTACAGTAATCTTCTTTGTGGTTTATAACACTAAAGATCAAGCAGGGAAAACTACAAATATTCCCAAGTGGCAATATATCCTTCCATAACTCATATTATTGGTATAGCATTAATAAGCATGACGGCTAGTCTAAAATGAACGTAAAATTAACTTTAGAATTATCATTTAACATAGAATGATTCATACGTTTTTGTTTTTGTTCCATAACTATAACAATGGTTCATCTTTAACTTAAACAAAAAGTTGGGTTACTTTCGCAAAATCCACAACTCTGCAAAGTATGCTAATCTATGGAAAAGTTAGATTTAAATGTTAACATTTTTTTAAGATATCATAATTAAATTGTAAATTGTTGATACTTATCTATGCTCCATCTTATTATTTTCTTTTATCAACAGAGGATTTATCTAATTTAACGACTACCACTATTGACTGCAATCCTAAACAAAATGATATCACTTGGCTTATTGATAGAAATGATAACACATGCAACCCTGCAAACAATTCGCAATCAGTTGTTATATCATTTATTGAGCCTTATCCGTACACTTGGTTGAGAATAGCAGTTAATGATGCAGGTATTATTTTGTTTAGTATATAATGCTCTTATTTGTAATTCATTAATTTAATATTATAAGTAAATTATATTTTAAATGTTTTTATTTAAAATGTCTTCACTTATTTTGATATAAAATATTAAACATAACATTGAAGGATTTTTTAAAGTAAATATTCAATTTCTTTTTTAAAGCAAGTTTTAACAGTTTACAAGTCTCCTTCAAGACGAACTCATCGGCAGATATGGCTTGCACTAACCAAATAAAAACCACAATAGATGCAAAAAGAATTGACATCCGTTGTAATACAATGTTTGATGTGAAGCAAGTGATTGTGCAAGGTCAAGGTCTCAGGTCATTGTGTTCCGTTTACATTAATGGAGGCAAGAACTTCGTTTAACTTCTTTTTTTACTTAGTAGTTAATCGAGTCATTTCAATCATAGTTTTTATAATGCATTGCAGTTGTAAATATGGGTCCTTAATAATATTATATTATTTTTATGGAACCAAGCTATTGCTCCTTTATGGCATCGGCAAGCACTTTACAGTCAAGCTGCAATCTGCTGGGTATCCCTTTAATCTGAAATTTCTGCATTGATGTCTGGAGTGGGAGTGTTTGTTCCCTGTCCCTCCATTCCTTAGAATTGGGCTCTCGGCTCATAGTGCACCACTGTCTTTGGTGCCTGTGACGATATCTTGGTTCCCGAAGTGGATGTAACCTATTTATGTAGCTTCGAGTAGGACAATGTTGTATTCTCATCTGGTGGAGGATCTCCCTTTTTGTTACTTTGCGGCATTTTTCTTTAAAGTTTACGGGCTTTTTCGCCGTTTTCCCAATTCCCCAACCCTTCCTCTTGGAAGTGTTCTTTTACCTAGGCCTTGAACCCCAATCGGGTCACTGGCCTGTTTGGTTGTGGTTGGACAGAGCCTTGATCGCTAGATTGTCAGCTCTACTATGTTGGGGAAATCACGCGTGTCCAAGGATTTCTTGATGGTCCACTTTGCCTTCTTGTGACTGTATGTTTTGCCTGACATACAGGCAATGAATATTTCAGCCCAATATAAATATGATTTGTTTTTTTGGCCGAATTGTAGTGCTTCCGAAAATATCAAATGTTTGGGGGGGGGGGGATTTTTTTGGGGGCTATTTCCTGGGCCTATATATTGTGCTTTTTTAAGGGTGCTTCCGAAAATATCAAATGTTTGGGGGGGGGGGGGGATTTTTATGGGGGCTATTTACTGGGCCTATATATTCTGCATTTTTAAGGGGGCATATGTGTAACATATGTATGGGGCATCTAAAACCTAAGATACAAGAAACAATGTTGTAATGATTGAACTTTTTATCGTTAATTTTATTTTTATTTGTCAGTATTTATGCATTGCTCCTGTTAAAAAACATTTTTATTTGAAGTCGTTTATTTGTGCTACAATTAAAATTGAAGGACCAATTTAAATTGTGTTATAATTGGCTTAAACCATTTATCTCATGTGAATATTAAAAAGTATATACACGAACTACAACATCAAGGAGTATTTGACTCCCTCGACAATTTTTGAAAATACTTACTAAGCAGAGAAAATCGTAGATTTGTTTAATTTAGTCGACATGCTTCGAGGTATTTTCGAAGTCAAGACTAATTAAGTTGTTAACAAATAATGCTACAATGGATTTTTTACATTAAGGTTTAGTTACTTTTTCATTTGCGTTAAACGATTAATACAAATTAAGATTATAGGTAAATTGTTAAACAGTTCTTAAAATCATCACGTGTATGCATCACATGTATGCATCAAATGTTTATTTGATTAGTTAATAATATTTTTGTTTCTCTTTTTTGTTTTCTTTGTTTTATAAAATACGACTTCACGTCTCATCATAAAAAAACAATAAAGTATCGAATAAATAACATTTTTGATATTTAAAAAAAAAAAAAATTAAACTTGCATTTATTTCCGGGCGTTCTAAGAAATCAGCAACGTGAAATATCAAGTTGAAAATATACCTAATAATTTATACATATAGAATTACTAAAGTTGAATGAATTCCAGGCATAAAAGCTTTAGATTATTCCATTAAGGTCGCAACGTCGCATTGAAACAACTCGCTGTACAAAGTTCTACATACAGTGGCGAAGGTGAACAAAAAGCAGATGCTACAAACGCAGTTGATGGTGTCACAACTAACATATTTAATAAAGGATCTTGTACTCACACAAATCCTGGACATCAGTCACCAAATTGGAATTTAACTTTTATCAAGCATCCAGTAGTTAACAGATTTGTTTTATACAACAGAAATGAAGGTAAGTAGCCAAAGATCTGTTGTTTTTATATCTATCTATCTATCTGATCTATCTATCTATCGATCTATCTATCTATCTATCTATCTATCTATCTATCTATCTATCTATCTATCTATCTATCTATCTATCTATCTATCTATCTATCTATCTATCTATCTATCTATCTATCTATCTATCTATTTATCTATCTATCTATCTATCTATCTATCTATCTATCTATCTATCTATCTATCTATCTATCTATCTATCTATCTATCTATCTATCTATCTATCTATCATCTATCTATCTCTCTATCTATCTATCTATCTATCTAAATATCTATCTAAATATCATCTATCCATCTGTCCATGTGTCCATCTATCCATATGTCCAACTATCCATCTATCATTCTATCCTATCCATTTATACATCAAACAATATATCCATATATCCATCTATCTATTTATATTTCTGTTTCTCTCTATATATGTTTGTATGTAAATATATCATATCATACATGTATATATTGGAAAATGTGCGGGTTTGACTGTTTGTTTCTTTTTCCCCATACGCTATTACATGGATTGATGAATCTTGAACAAATTTGGCTCATTTTTTCCATCATTATCTAAAGGGAAACTTTGAGGGGTATGACAATTTTTATAACAATCCGTTTGGAGCCGTGGGCCCCATTTTCGTTTTATTTTTATATGAGCTATATAAAGAAAATAAACAACAAATACTTATACATGTATGGTTGGATCTTGACCAAACTTAGTACACATACAATTTATTATCCATTTTCAAATATGGAAGTGTACTGAACTCATAAATATACACCCCTTTGAGGACGAGGGCCCCATTTAATTTTTTCTAACATAAGCTATATAAATACCAATAGGCTTTAAAAACACTGTAGGTTCTCTGTGAATGTATAGATCTAAATTATAAATCCATAATTCACCTGAATAATTTTTTCATGGCCCCCCATTTCAGAAAAAAACTTATTCGGTTCATGTGTGGAATTGGCTTTTTCTTGAGCACCTCATTCAACTTATGTGTACTATAGTTATAGAAAATCAGGGGTCTAAAGCTCGCGGCCCGCGATTATTGTGCAGCCGCAAGACGATATTTTGCGGTCCGCTACATAACAGCAAAGTTTAGTGTTAATGCGGTCCGCACGTTTCCCCATTCTCAACTCTATAATGTGACCCTCCACGACGATTTCAGTCGAAACTCACCAACCAGTGTTATTCTGATTTATATCCTAGTTGTATAGTTTTGGACGTTGATTATAATGGTAAAAACCGTTTTAAAAAGTTTTTATTTTATAGAATTTTATAAGACTAAAATGGCAAAAATGCGATTTTGAGAAAAGTTTAAAAAGTCAGTTAGTGGGTAATGCAAAATCATAATTCTGTAAATTGTAGCACTCTGACACAGCATCAAAGTATCCCGATTAAAATTGCCGCTAGTGTTTACGAGTGAGTGAAATTCCAAGCCAGTCAGATTGGTCACGTTCAAAATATTGTTAGCTAAAAAGGCTTTTTCATTAAAATTCATTCTCCCCACAAGAACATCTTCCTTCCCATCAATAATTTTTCAATAGTTCCAGCTCTTGCTGACTGTTTGAACACGTTTTATCATACAAAGCCTTCAAAGGAAAAGTTTGTTGTCCCTACATTAAGTGATCCCAAATGGCTCGTAACTTTTTTTTGTTGTTGACATTACACAGGATCTAAATGTACTCAACAAGAAGTTACAAGATCAGGGGTAGCTTGTCGGTGTTGCCTTTGACAATGTCAGGGCATTCTGCACACAACTTTTGTAATGGTTCTTAGAGAAACCTCTGCCATTTCCCAACATGCAAAGTACTTATGGACTCGGGCACACCAATCAACAGCTATTTTTAGATGCCATTACAAAGCTACAGGAAAAAATTGATCACATGTTGTCAGCCTTAAAAACATTCAGAGTCACTTTTCAACTTTTTGCCGACTCTTTCTCCTTCAAGGTCGAAGATGCCCCCACCCCCCACCCCCTCAGTTAGGGAGGTGAATGGAAAAAGAGACAAACATGGACTATTTATGAGAGAATTTCCCTCCATCTTCCCTGAGATTTCAGGATTGTTCAAGTGGATCATGTGCCTTTATGGGAGTACCTGTCTGTGTGAAAAGCTCTTTTGCACTATGAAATTTAACAAGTCAAATTTCAGGGCCAAACCTACTGATGAGCATCTTCAATCTGTTCTGAAAAGCTTGATTGCGTCCTCACTCAAGCCAAGTGGTTCTAATCTATGTAAGAAGAAGCGCTGCTAGGTCTCTGGCAACAAAGAAAGTGAAGCCTAGTTCTCGAGTACCCTTATAATTTTTATTTGTTATTAATAAAGGTTTGAGCTGATTGTAACCGTTGAACTATTGTATTTGTAATCGCCTTCTTTGTGGAATACTTGATGCGGCCCATGCGACTTCATGTCTATACTTTAATGAGGATTTTCTTTAAACATACCCTGTATAATCCTACCTTGAACAAAATCCCACTGGAACTATGATAAAAACGAGAAACATGACCCTATAGGGAAACGGGATCGACCGGGATCGAAATACCACGATTCTACCGGGAAACCGCAACCCACTGAGATCGGTATCCCACAGGGAACGGAAACCCACCGGGATCAGGATCCCACCGGTATCAGGTTCCACCGGGAAACGGGATTACACTTGGGTTATGATACAACCGGGATCAGACCACTCCGGGAAAGGGGATCCCGACGGAATCGAGAACCCACAAGAATCGGGATTCTACATGGATCGTAAATCTGCCGAGATTGAACTGGGACTAAGATTCTACCGGGATCTGATCGACCGGGATCAGGATACGGACTGGATTAGATATCCACCAGGATCGGAATACCGACGGGATCGGGTACCCAGTGGTATCGGAATCCAACCGGGTCTTGTATACAAACAGGGTAAGGATACCGATGGGATCAGTATACTGGCGGATCGGGATACCAACGGGATAGGATACCCACCGGGGTCGGTATACCGACGGATTCGGAACCCAACGATATCCGGATCTAACCGGGATCGGAGATCAAATTGGATCGGTATTCCTCCAGTAAAGTTATATCTATGTCATTTTGAAAACGCTTTTAATGGGACAACTTTTACCTTTTTCACTTTGTTATTTATCTGCTTTTTCTATAGGGCTCCCCCTTCTCAAGCATAGCTAAAACGGTAAACTTATGGAATGCCCGCCCTCCCCCCCCCCCAACCGTGGCCCCTTTTTTAAATTAAATGTGCTATAGTTATAGTAGAGCTTTTAGGTGTAGTAATTTCCGTATTCGAAAGCAATAATTACGTATAAAAGTCTTTCCTTTGCATGTTACGCGAAGGACATTAAATTTAATCTAGAATGTTCGAGAAAACTCTAAATTGTTTTACTGGGATATATAGAAGGATCTAAAAGCTTAGTAAAATTATGTTTAGTTCCATTCATATCTATACCTTAATGTTGATTTTCTCTAAAAATGAACTTCATAATCCTACCGGAAAAAAAATCCTACCGGAAAATGATCCCACAAAGGAACAGTATCCTAAAAAGGAAAGAGATTTAACAATTAACTGGAACCCATAGTAACGCGATCCCATCGGGTAACGGAATTAAATCGGGGTTTTTTTTGGTAACGGGATCCCATAGCAGAAGATGATCTAACCGGGAAACGGGATACTGATGGGAACGGAAGCACTGAAATTTTTCTTCCCACTAGGAAATGGAATGCATCCGGGATTGGGATCCACAGGGATAAAGATCTCACCGCAAACGGGATTCCACCGGATAACGGGATCCACCGGGATAGAGATACAACAAGGATCGAATACTAATGGGGTCGTAATACGACGGGATCGGGATACTAACGGAACCGGAAAAACTAGGGGGGATCGGGATTTGGTCCTGATCGAGATCCAACGTGAATTCAACCATCATCGGGAGCCCTCTGAGAAACAGGATCCCATGGGGAAACATGATCCATTCGGGTCTCACCGGGGATCGGGATCCCATCTGAGAACAAAAGGATTACAAAAGTTATTATAAATGTGTTTTTTTTAGGAGACTGTTACGCACTGCCTTCTATTGTGAGAAATTAATCTCATATTTTAAATTTATGGCTCGTTCAAACAGTGCCTGTCAAAGGACGATACCATAGAGAAATACAATGAAAAAATACGACACCTGAAACAGTACAGAGTATAGGAAAATCGTGTAACGGTACACAATTAGTACAATGTGCAAATTAATGATGAATGAAGAATGCTAAAAACACATATAAGCACACAAAGAATAATACACGTCTCGTGAAGTTAAAAATATCTATCTGAATTCCTCCGACTCTCTCTGTGTCTGTCAATCCCTTTATATATGCAGCGTAAGCTCTGCCTTCCAGAAGCTACTCAGCATTTGTTTACGTTCTCGGCACATCGAGAACCTTCGACAAGAGACTAGGAGACAGACTAACTATGTTTAATTGGTGGTCGGTAGTAAACACGATACATCAACGAGATATCCACGCCCATCTATGAACATAACGTGTGCTAGGAATTTAATTTGGGTCAAGCAAAGTTCACGCACGAGGAAAAGTGTCATACATAACAGAGACAGATATTTTTTTTTACTATATGGTATGGCATGTTTATTTGTTTACATGCTAGAATATGTATGTATATATATATATATATATATATATATATATATATATATATATATATATATATATAAAAAAAAAAAAAATATATATATATATTTTTTTTTTTATCTCTTTTTTTATATATATTTTTTTACTATATGGTATGGCATGTTTATTTGTTTACATGCTAGAATATGTATATATATATATATATATATATATATATATATATATATATATATATATATATATATATTAAAAAAAAAAATAAAAATATATATATTTTTTTTTTTTTTATGTTATGTCATATTTATTTGTTTATATGTTAGAATATGTATATATATATATATATATATATATATATATATATATATATATATATATATATATATATATTGAAAAAACAAATTGAAATATATATATTTTTTTATATTTCACTTCTTTGATAAAGCTTTACCAACATTTGAGCTCTTTTCTCTTTTATTTCGTCTGACGTATTGCACCTTAAAGAGCTTGAGATTTCAGAGCTGTTGCATTGATACCATTTCCTGACATATTGAAACATGCACTAAATGAGCATTCGAATACTTTTGCAAATTTAATCCTTTCAAATTTTGCTATCTCAAGCGATTCCTTTAATAATGTACTAATAATCTTTTCTATACTCTTCTTTCGATTTGCTTTAGGTTAATAACTTTGTCGTTGTACTCTCCCATTTTGCTACATTACTCTTATTTAGATTATTCTTAGCACACAAATGAAATCCGTAAAACAACTTAGTTAATTTACTTTATGTGAAGAAATGTTGGCCTTTGAGAGAGGACTGGGGCCTAAATAGGAAATGTTTTGATAATTTAAAGTACAGCGATGTATGTTGGTTCATACATGAATGTTTGATGGCAATTTTCTCGTGATGCCATAAGAACGCGCTTAACTTGCGATTTACGTCTTTTGAGCAATTGTTTGGCCTTTCAGGTTCCTTGGCGTAGTTGGGCGGGTTATGGGGTGTGGACCGCGCCGGATGACACCATCACATGGTTTGGTTACCAAATTTTTTAAAAAATGCATATTTATTCTGTCTAACGAAATATCATAAAAGGATAACCGATCACTCGTCAATTTTAATTACTTGTAACCTATTCAAATCCTTTCTTCATTAAAAGTTTAATGTTGATGCTTCCGGAATGAGGTAGCACTATAAGTAGGTCAGATCAAGACAGTTTTTACTCCAATTCAACGCAGATTGAAGTGGTCGGCAACTTTATTATGTGACAGTAATCTACAGTTGGTAAATCCACATGCGAAATAAATTCGTTCCGTAACCTTGCTCGTTCTTTAATTTGCTCGTATCTCAAAGCAATGTTCCCCAATAAAATTAAAGGAAATGACAATAATCCATTCCAGCCCCCAAAATTCCACTCAGTTGTTTTTTTTTAATTTTTTATGTGTTTTTTATAAAAAAACATAATCAAAGAGAATATAAAGAAATAAACTGGTCTTACAAAGTGTATTCACGTTTAAATCAGCCGACTTGAGCATGCGGAAGATGCTTGCGCAGGTGTAGGGTGGAGGAGATAGGCTTCGTTCACTTACTTGCTACAAAGTTAATGCTAAACTCTTTCGGTCACTTTAATTCACTTACTTATTACATTCCCAAACTTATTGGAACTTAAGTAAACTTCTCTGAACTTCAAAGCTTCTGTACAATTTTTAATTAATTTCGCTTAATTTTCGTCACTGCTTTTCTTTTCACTGGTTTTTGCCTTTTCCCCCATGTTTTCTTCACTTTCACCTGCAGGCTGTTTAAACAACAACAAAACAAAAAAAAACTGTCCCAGGAGGTTTGTGAGACGCACAAGGCTAGACTGGTGTGTTGTGTGCAGCCCGCCGACCCGCTGACCCAGTTCGTCGTATCTGAAATGTTTATCGTTTTTTAGAGCAAAACATCGCTCGCTCGATGGCTCGTATCTCAAAAATCTCCTAAAGTTAGGGCAAACGAATGTGGAGGTACAACTGTAAATTGAGCTTAATTCTGAGAAATAAATCTTTCCCTTGAAGTATAATTTCGTTGTGGTCGGGTTGTTTGAATCATAAAGATTAAAATATAAAAACATTACTTTTTATCAATTTATTGGTTTACAAAAATAATATTTTACCAAATTTTCTGATATCTTTTAATAATGCATTTAACTTTTTAATTTTTTTTAAAAATATATATATATTGAAACTCAGAAATACTAAAAAAAAAATATTTTCTCCCATTAGTCAGTAACACGGACCCTTAACATTTGAACACGATTGTCATATCATGCAAAATCTTTTATTTGCTGTCTGCGATTTCACATTTATCTGCTACCTTTACATTTGGGCTTATCTAATTGAGGAAGTTAATCTTACTCAGCAGTATCTGCTGGCTAAAGGCTTTACTCTTGACAAAGTGGTGACCAACTTAGAGGCCTTAAGATTGTTTCTGAAGAGAAACGCTGTCACTTGGTGGAACAAACTATTGAAAAGGAACTTTTAAAATCTTATCAATTTTAAATTTTTGTTTTGAGAGAAGATTAGAATTTATATAAGAAGTGAATGGCAGGAGAACTATTTACGATCCAATATGGGACAGTCAAAGCTTTTTTAATATGGTTCTACTATCAATTGAAAGTGTTACGGTGAAAGCAATTGATTTTGATCAAAAGATTGATAGTTTTGCAACTTTGAAGAGCAGGAAAGGTAAATTTTAAATAAAGTAAATTGAATTTAAAAATAACTATAAGTTTACGTTGCTACAGCTATTAAATACATTTACCCACTGACCTTCAATTTTTTTTTTTTTGGTCCTCGTTATATTGTGGATTTATTGTAACCAGACGAAATCCATCGTGGAAGTCGGGGGAGGGGGGTTGGCACCATGAAGTCACCGCACTGGGTGACACCCCCTCTAGCTACGGCACTGTCAGATTCTCAAAATTGTATTCACATTTTTTACCCTCCACTCAGCAAGAAATGTCTGCCAAGACTTTCCTACTAATTCCATGGCAACTAACCAACACACACTAACCCTCAACCCTACTCCAAACTCTAATTAATGCCCCTTTATAGAGAAAATATATCTTACAATGTGAGGAAAGCTTAAAGAAAAACAAAGATTTAAAAATAACACTTAAAATATTTTTTTAAAGCTTTGAACAAACGTTTCTTCCATGATCATAAGATTTATAAAACACGGCTCTGTATCAAAGTTTCTCTTACAAACAATTCCGCAACAAAAAAAAAAGTTATTTCTTGTTTGTTTTAAGTCCAAAAGTCATTTAATAGGATTGTATAAATGCTCAGGTGTAAAAAAAAACATTTAAAAAATGTGCCAAATTTATTTGCACATAGCCCCATAATGGATACCTCCACCGTTCTCATCCAGACAATAAACTATGTTTTCCTGCTTTATTATTTATATATTCTATAATGAAAGCATTGCATATTATTTTGTAAGAGCCTTTTGTAAATTAAACGCATACGAAAACTTTAGAGATGAGGACAAGGTCTTAAATATTAATTCATAATATTAACTAATTCGCTGTACGTCAATTTTTCTAAATTTTTTTTTTCAGATTGTTGCATTGACCGACTGAAGCATTTTACTCTTCAAACTTTAGATGCAAACGACAAAACAGTATATCAATACACTGATCCAAATGATGCACCTCAAATTAATTACGCGGTGACAGTGGCAGCTTCAGCTAGAAATATTCCTATCAGGAAAATCAATATTAGAGCTACAAGCAACATCCTTACTCTCTGCGAGGTGGAAGCGTTTGGAGGTATTTAGTTACTAGATACTCGAATACAATCTGAGGTTTTGCCGCTTAGCATTATTTATTTCTCCCTTTAAATGTCAAAACGGAAAGCGAAAGGGTAAACTAATTTACTGTTGAATATTCAACAAAGTTTATAAGCTAATCAGTAGTTAATTTTAATATTTCTTTTCGTCGCCTTATTTTATATCTTAAGGCCCAAGATCAATGTGTTGCTCATTTTGGCTCCTATTTATGTAGAGGGAATTCGCGATGTTTCTGTGCCTGATATTGAAGATGATATTTCAATGGTGGTAGTGGCTACTCATTAAGTTTATTAGGAACTGGAGGGTTAGAAGGTCTGAGTAAATAGACGCAAAAGTTTCAAGTGTTGTCGACTCAACTATTCCTTTTTGGAAGCTTATTACAGTCCCTGATTGTCTTTGGCTGGAATGAGCAGTTCCTGTTCTGTGTTCTTGCTGTTATGAGCCTGAAAGCCTGTCATGGTCCTGTCGCTGTCTGTGGGGGTGGGGAGATGGACGAGTGTCTGTTTGATGCTGGAACAGTCGACCAGCCCATTTGTTATCTTGTGCATCACGGAGAGTCATAATCGTCGTTTTTACTCCAATGGTGACCAGAATGTTTCCAACACCAGAGGTGTTCCTGTAGCGTTTAAGAACAAAGTTTTCTGCACCGCCTCCAAACTCTCGATGCTCTTCTTGCTGAATGGGTTCTAGACTGAAGATGCGTAATCTAAAATCGGCAGGATAAAGTCTTTATAGACTCTTTTGTTTTCACACTGGAGTTGCCGATCTTTACATTTCGCTTTTAGAATCATAGGGTCTTGTTTGCGTTTTCTTTCCTTTTTTTTAAAAAACATCTTTGATTAGACAAACCATTTGATTCATTTGAAAACAAGAAGAAAAAGCATAAAAATAAAACCCAATGCAATAAAAAAAAGTTGAAAATACATTTTCTCTTCATGTCTATTAAAGGCAACAATTCAAAAAGACCTTATTAAAGTAACTTCAATTAAATCAGGAATGATAAGCAATATTTTAATTTATTTTTATTTAATTCACCTTTAAAATGATTGTTAAATAAAATGAATTTAGGTTTAAAAATTCGTAAATATTTAAAAGTTTGCTAATTTTCATAATTTGTATGTGTGTAACTGCTGACCCTTGTTCCATTTTTTATATACAGATTGTTCACCAGGATCATGGGGTCTAGATTGTGTCCTATGCGAGGGGAAATGTAACCAGTGTCATCCTGAAACAGGCGCATGTTTAGTTTGTAATGGTTATACCAATCCACCAAATTGTGACCAAAGTAAGATAACAAATATTAATATTTGAAAATTCTTTCATATGGTAGCTATAACTTTTAGTATTATAATCGTTCTGATATGTATAGTTCAGCTGAATAAACTTCCTGATTCCAAAGAAATTGTCCTAAGCTCGTTACATCCTGTAGATACAAGGTTAGATTCTCTTGAAAAATACCTTTCATGACGAGTTAAAAAAATTGAAAATAATTGACACATTTATTAAAATGCATATCGCAAAGAGAGACTGTGCAGATGTGTATTTGAGCCCTTTATGTAAATACTAATAAAATATCCACAGCTTGTCCAGATGGAAATTATGGTATCAATTGTGCCCAACGATGTTCAACAAACTGTTCTCAAAATCTATGTGATGCGGTAACAGGCTTTTGTAAAGCATGTCCAAATGGTTACAAAGGATCTTTTTGTGATCAAGGTAATATTATATTTTTAAAATACACAATCCTGATAATTATTTCATTGATTGTGATGTTGTCGAAGAAACGAAGCTATATACAAATGTTAATATTTTTAAAAAAATATATAAATATTACCTGCGTAGGAACACAGGTTGTTTTTTGTATCAAATGTATTTTGTCATTGAAACCCTAGAGATACACATTAAGCCCCTATGCCCCCATGCCACAGTGGTGGAAGTTCTTTCAATGTGAGCTTTTTCAAGCTTATAGGTTGATGGGAAGGAAATAATCAAAGAAATGATACAAATCTGGAGAATTAATATTTTCATAGAAAAGTAGAATTCCATGTAGCCTATAGGACAGTTGATTGCGAGTTTCTACAAGCTACGTTTTTTTACATAATATTCTATTCTATTAAATTGGACATGTTCGTTATTTTGATCTAACTTTATGTGTCCGTACTCTGCAGCCCGATAGCATTCTTGCCTTAATAGTTTATAATCACATCTCGATCTAAATCTTCATTTTGTATCGTCATATATAGAGTTAACAAGTTTATTTTATCATTATCTGTAGATCTAAATTGTTATATTATGAATTGGGCATTAATCTATCTAAATTTTAAAAAGCGTAATATACCTCTAAACGTAGGAATTAACAAATTAAAAAAAAAAAATGTTGTACCGACCTTTGAAATGCGATGTAAGTTCCAATGGTAGATCGGTCCCAACCCAACTCCCTCCTCGAAAAGGAAAGTTAAACATAAATTTTGAAAGTTATCCTATGATGCACGTTTATATTTAAACTCTTGTGGGACCTGGGAACGTTGGGTCTACTAGTTATGGGCAGTTATTGAAGAATGTTTAGAAAGTACACCGGCCCAGGCAATTTTCATTCAAAATATATTGTTATGTAGACAACGTGTTTATGTTTCACTTTCCCCGTGTACTATGTGAACTCTGTCTAACACTAAATTAGGCTGCGTTCGTATTGGACGTATTGGATCAAAAGATCCCTTTGATCTTGGTCTTTGTTTACTACCACTACAAACTAAAAATAATTAATATGTTCTAGTAGAACTTTGTTGAAAGTTCGGCGTGAACTAGGCAGGTAAATAATGTGTAAGGCTGTTCGAGATCGTACAGTAGGTTTTGACTTCAAGGGACAAGGGTGTGTTATTTGTATCCATCATTGTACCTTACTCTTTTGGCACATTGTACTAACTGTGTATCGGTACAAGACATATCGATGATTTTTAATTAGTTTTTTTTTATTATGTAATTATATTGATACTTAAATAAATCTTATTAATTGTAATTAGTACTGTTTTGAGTATCGTATTTCACTGTTGTTTTTCCACATATTGTATTGTCTTTTGTTATGCACTGTTTAGAACGAGCCATAATTTAAAACAACAGTTTAATTTCTCACTATAGAAGGCAGTGCGTAACAATGTGAAGATTTAAGTGTAAAACAGCCACCTGTTAGGATTGAAAATTATTACGCACGACTTGGTTCAAATATCAATTTTACCTCAGAAATTAAGATTGCATCCTTTTTTTTTAATGCGAATTCATTAAGGGCCCAACTTTACTTTGAAGCACAACAAAAAAAGATAAAATTGTTTGGGAAAAATGGATGTATCTTAATTTTTTAAATTGTTGTTTTTTTCGGCCGGGGAAATTTAAACTGAATTTTTTTTAGATTAAGTAATATTATGTGTCCTTAAAAATACCCAGTACATCGCCCACATTGATTCGCAAAAAAAAAACCACTTTAAGTGAGGTGTCTGTGTGTGTGTCTGTGTGTGTGTGTGTTTGTGTGTAGGTTTTTATTAGTGTCAAGAGAGGGGGACAATATTATGGGCCAACACGGAGGCTCAGATCCCAACTTATCTACTGAGTACTATGTGTAAAGCTGGGTTGCCGAATGATTAATCCGAAGCTAGTGGACTCTAATTCAATTCGCAAGATAAAAGCAAAGACATCACCAGCAATCGGGATGGGTGGGACTCCTTAACCTTGGATGGCAACTGATCAGGGAAACACTGAAATCGAACCCGGAGTTGGAGTCCCGATGAAAATTCCAACTCTTGCGATGCAGAACACATAAAGAGCATAGCGATAATTGACAAACTGCTGGTCTTCTACGCATCCTGGTCTATTTCCAGTCGTCTTGACCAAGTTTTGCCTTTGAATCATATAGGCAACGACGAAAGAGTGCGGGCGAATTGAGCAGCTCTCACTCACTTTAAAGAAAATACAGCTCAAGTCAAGGCTACTCCTTAAGTCGAAAATTAATTATATTGTCTTGGTCATCTTTACTTGCGGAGGGCAAACAATAGTAATAATGATTTTAAATATAGCAACGTAGATATGAATTGTATGAAAACCAGTGTCATTCTGTCAATGAGTAGAAATTAAATAGTTAAACAAATATATTAACGGTTAATGCTATTGTTTTTGTGGGTTTTGTTTAAAGGATCATTAAATAGATTAAAACTTTTAAACACTGCTCTTTGGCCACCATGTTTTATCATGTCATATTTTCAGTTTGTGAATCTGGAAAGTGGGGCCCTCAGTGCGCAAACACTTGTAACGAGAGTTGTTGGGATTCTTCATGTAATAACGTCAATGGAACTTGTGATTATGGCTGTGATGGATTCAGTGACGTTCCTTTTTGCACTGAAGGTAAATGTTATCATATTTTAATGACATATTGCATATGGTATTGTTTTATCAACTGTCAGAATCCACTTTTTTTAATGACAGAAATGAGACAGACACTGTTATTGCACTCCATTGTCATTTTCTGAAATAATTTTTCGTATGTGATAATTAACGTTTCCTGATGCCATTTGTTAAGTTTGCATTCTTGGAAAATGGGGAAAGAACTGTAGTCAAGACTGCAGTAAAAACTGTTATAACCAATCATGCAACCGACTGAATGGAACATGTGACGATGGATGTTTAGGGTATTCTAACCCCCCAAGTTGTAACATCAGTAAGTTTGTATATAAATATGCAAATTATAATTTACTCACAAGCTCGTATCAATGAATAACCTGAAAAATCGATTTAATTTACTTGGTTAAACATGCATTCAAGTAACACAATTTCTAAAATTTGCAATTAGTGCTAAACTAACAACTTTTAAAGAAACTCACAACTCATTTAGCCCCGTTATCGGGACTTGTATTTACTGAAATCGGTGCCATCTGGTAGCATTAGTGATATTGTCAAATAGAGAATTATGTGTTTTAATCATTGAGTACAATTTACAATGTTTCTGCCTCATACGGCCCTATTGTACAATAATTGCTATTTCTTTTAAGAAACAACTTTCTTTTCAGTACTATTTTACATACTTTAAAAGAGTTAAATAATCCATGGTTTCATTAAATTTCATTATTTTCAGCATGTCCATTTGGAAAATGGGGAAAGAACTGTCAAGATCAGTGCAGTTCAAACTGCTACAACACATCCTGTGACAGACGAACTGGAATTTGTGATCAAGGGTGTAGTGGATACATCAACCCTCCTGACTGTAACATTGGTAAACATATGTATATATATTATGTTCAATATATTTTACTTTAAAAATGCTTACTATATCTACCCCACCCCCAACTAAGTCGTGGCAGCCCAACTCCCCACGCTTTCCTGGACCTTGGTCGATTCTGTATGGTATTAGATTCGAGAGCTCAGTATGGATAATACTATAAGGTTTTATAAACAAATTACCGTTTAAAATATTATTATAACATTCTTCACGATGCAATACGATACTGATAAAAAACCATTACAATTTTTTGTGAGGCAAATTATTCTTTACATTTTTCAGCAAACATTTTTATCAAATGAGGAAGTAGTTCAAAACATGAATTCTAGTACGCTTTCTTTTTATTTTTTTAAAATTCTTACTCTAAAAATTCAGATTCTCTATTGGTTGCACGATGATCATGTGGTTCAAATAGAGCCTCTGTCAAAAGTTTGTATAAAAAATTCAATCCCCAGCCAAACCATCTAATTTTTGTAAGGATCGTATTGTTCCCTACACATATTAACTTTGTTACCTGGGGGAAATCAAAAGCGAGGAAGGTGATTTATTTCAACCCGTAAGATTGGAAACAACTTATTCCGCCCCCTACCAGTGTACCCTAATATATCTTAACAAATAATTAGTTGAAATTATGTGTCTCGGAAAATTGCTTGGTGTGATTAACTAAGGAAATAATGATATGAACTTCTAATTTTATTAAAACTAAAAACAAAGTCATTCGAGTGAATGTGTAAATAAATATATTTAATATTTGATTTATATTCATTCGAGAATTGTTAAAGCGTTCATAAACTGCATAATTTGATCAAAGGCAATAAATGCATGATTTAAATAGATTTAATGATGTATATTATATGACAAACACAGTGAGTGAGAGGGAGAGAGAGTGGTGTTTGGCTTACATTTTTCCTGACATTCTTCACTAGATTTAGACATCAGCTTAATTTTTTTTTTTTTTAAAAAGAGCATGCATTAATGAAGGACTCTTTGTTACATTCTTTCTGACAACATGTCTCTCAATATTCATATTCCTCACACATATCGCTCTGCATACACCGCTATCCGTCAGATCAGCTCCATCCGCCACTACCTCACAGTTAGCTCAACAAAAACACCAGTAACTGCTCTTGTTCTCTCTCATCTTCACTATTTTAACTCTCTTCTGTCATGCTCACCAAAATATTTCATATAAAATCTGCAGAAGGTTCAAAACTCAGCTGCTATTCATCCCTTTTTAAAGCTTCCTCCCGCAGACACGCGTATTCATTCTGTTCCCAGAACACGCACTAAAACCTATGGTAAATGATCTTTCTTTACCCCAAAACAATTGAATTCTCTCTCACAAATCTTTCCCAATATTACGATAATCCCAACCTTCAAACTGCTTTCAAGACCCATCTCTTCAAAATTAATATACTGACTCCTTCTCAACCCTCGCTAATATAAACAACGCTCCACGCTGCTGGGTGCTATCCATGGCTAGACATTGATAGATAGTTATTGGGTGGGTGAGATCAAGCTTTTCACCAATTCTGTTTTTAAATGTATAATTTTTGTGTAATTGCTAATTTGTTATCTAAACTTCGGTGAGCCTCGCCTTAGGCTAGGCTACTGCGCTATATAAAACCAACTTAATAATAATAATTATATTTATAAAATGCAGCTATATATTTTTTTGGTTTAAATCAAATAAGGCCTTTATAGTTTCAAGGGAATACACTTTCCTTAAAAAAGTTATGAAATAAATAAATGTCAACACTTGTTAATTTTAAATCCTTCAGTTTGTGATCATGGAACGTGGGGAGCAAATTGTTCATTTCCCTGCAACAACAGCTGTTTTAACGCATCATGCAACCACCGAAATGGCTCTTGTGATTTGGGGTGTGATGGTTTCAATAATCCACCAGTATGTACAGAAGGTGAGCTTATTTTTTTTTCCAAGAGCTAAAGTAATGAAACAACATCTCAAGCTCTAACAACAATTCATATGCAATATTTGTTGTTGTATTTTTTTTTTAGTATGCAAGTACTACTAATGATAAAACTCATTTAAAGTCATGGTGAGTAATATGATTCCCTTTGGGGGATGGGGCGTGGGGCTTGGAAGGTTGGGGTGAATGGGAAAAAGAGACTGGCCATTTTTTTTAATATAATGCGAGGAAATAGTGTTCTTTCCGAATTGTATAATGCAGGGTCTCCAAAATTTTCATTCCAATGGCCACATTAATTATCAAGCAGCAGTCCGGGGGCTGACTACACACTGGAGTACTAAATAAAAAAGAATCAAAACATGAATGCTGTTTGTAATTATTTATTTAATATAATTTTATTCAGTAATAATTTAATAACGCATTTATACACTACAATTGAACTTGTATTAGTGGGAATGGTGAAATTGTTTCCTGGATGCCAAAATAGCAGACATTTCTGGCCTTAGATTTGATGTCCCTAACATCAACAGTGATTTGAGATTATCATCGGACAAGTTTATTCTTAAATTGTTCTTCACGTATTTCATTCTTTAAAATGTTTTCACACGGGTACGTTGTTACAAAGATTGAAAGGTACGTTAATGCAAAAGTTTTGACTTTAGGAAAGTCTTCCTTGTGCACAAACTGATAAAAACCCACCAGTCATTCTTTGAACTTGTCCCTAAGGGGTCATTTGCTTGAAATTCAATGACCTCCGGCTGCAGTTCATCATTTTTGCAATGTAGTGATCGGTTAGAAAACATATTGCACTACTACGCGCCACTATTTTAATTCGGCAAAAAAATAACGTCCACGTAAGTGGCGGCTGATCTTGGCAGGATACACGTAAATTTACGTTATTTCTTTTCCGTAGACGAAAAGTTTTCCACGGGCCGGACGAAAGGGCCTATCGGACCGCATCCAGCCCGTGGGCCGTAGTTTAAATACCCCTGGTATAGAGTAACGAAAAAGGCACGTACCAAGTACTCTTCTAAAACTATAACATTTACCGTCGAATATAAAATCTTACATCTCTGAGCTTGGGTGAAATATATTTTTTAAGAATAAAGGCTTGGGAAAATATTTTTAAATCATTTACATTTCATCGTATACATGTACAGGATTGGACAAATAAAGTAAGTTCAAGAATGTTTCTTCAAGTGTCAGAAAAGGTGGTATAAGTCAAAAGACAGCAAATATTAAAAAGTGCACTTTAAAAAAAATAGAGATACATTTGTTGACAGAACATTCAAAAGTAATGGGATTAATGCACTTACATTGAAAATGTTATAGCAATTTTAAGGTGTGTTTTATATCCTAGTTTTCAAACAAAACGTTATTTTTTTAGCCTTATTAAATATTATTAAATGGCTATTTTAAAGTATTTTGGAAGTTTTTGTCTCATTTTTGTTTTTAACTCTTACTATATTTTAACTGAATTTTATATCATTGAGGAATGATAAAGCTTAATTTGTGCTGTCCAAGTGAATTAGCTTACCCTATTCCAGCTGTGACTTCGGCTTTCACTGGAATTGTTATTTCATGTCACCCAAAGTCATAAAAAAATATCTCTCAAATGCCCTCCTTTGATTGACTGTTGCCCATTTTGACGGCTTGTTTTGTTTTAAGTTGCTCCTTTTGCCCCCAAAAAGTTCTCGATAACTGGGGCATAATAGTGAGGCTAAATAAATTGTAGAGAACTGGGAAAATTTTGTAAAAGTTCCAAAATCTGATATTGTGTAATAATTGATGGTAATATAAAAGTAGGCAATGTACCTTTTAATTCTTTGGTTTTTTTTTGGAGTCAAAAGTGGACGAAAATGCCGCCCATTTATAAAAAGAAAAATATTCCTTTAAGTTTTTCATCCCCCTCCCACCAATGCCACTGGGGTTGACTCATTTTGAGTGGGCTCTGGGTTTCATAATGCATAATTACCCCCTCCACCCCACGCCTAAAATATCAATCCCCCAGATCAAAATTTCTTAAACAAACACTGGTTAGTTATAACTTCGGTCCAGCCTAGATCCCAAATACTATTTCCTACATTGCTTGACCTGTTTAGAGAGAAATAGAGGTCATCGGTGCATTACTTTACCCACGGCCCCCGTTGCTCTTAAAAGGGCCAACCAACTACAATAAAGATTTTCATCTCATAACGATAAAACACAATATTATACTTTTTAGCCAACTCTGCGAGTTAAATTTTATTGATTTGTTTTTGTTCTTTTAATTTGATTTTTTTTTTTTTTTTTAGAATGCCCATCCGGTTATTGGGGTCAAAACTGTACGTTAGCCTGCAGCTCGCATTGCTCAAATGCATCTTGTGATGGACAGACCGGAGAATGCTACCTCGGCTGTATGGCTGGATATTTACCACCTAAATGCGAACAAGGTTGGTTCTAAAATCATTTGTGTTTATCTTAAAGTGATCTTCTTTTATGATAAGAAATTATATTTTTATGCTAAACTTAGTTAATTAAAACACATTTTTTTTTATATTCATGAGCAGGAACATTAATTTTTTGTATGACTCCTTAAACACGAGTTTTGATTTTAATATTTTATATTATGTGCATATTTCTTAAATTAAGAAATTATGTTTTCTTATTTCAAACAAATAAATTAACAATTTCAACATCATTATCAATTAAATTAATGTTAATTTTTTTTCAAATTATTATATTTTGTTGTTGTTTGCATAGTCTTCAGTATAAATATATTTCTTTTGAATTTAAAAAAAAAAAAATAGGCTGCAAGGAAACCTTTTATGGCATCAATTGCTCCAAAGTGTGTTCCAACAACTGCTCAAAGAATCAATGTGATTCAAATATTGGGTATTGCTTACGGTGTATAGACAATCACGAAGGACATTTTTGTGAAGGTATACCTATGAATCTTTTAACTGATGTCAATCCTACATTTAAGATGATCAAATAATTTTTGACTAAATATTTTTTTAAAGATTAGTGTTACGAACATTTTGACACAAATAAAACAGAAACATTTCAGAAAACAAAATATTTGTAAAAAAAAAAAAAAAAAAAAAAAAAAAAAAAAAAAAAAAAAAAAAAAACAAAAAAAAAAAAAAAAAAAAAAAAAAAAAAAAAAAAAAAAAAAAAAAAAAAAAAAAAGAAGAAAGAAAATTATATTTTTTACTGTATTACACTTCTTTATAAAGGAATTTCAAGTTATTTTTTGGGGGGTTAAATTCAAAGTTAGAAAGAAGCAGTGAAGAAAAAGGTTGTCTGACTTGTTAAAAACTAGGAATAATTTTAGCTCCCTTGAATAGAAATATAGTTACTTAATCTAGATCCCATTGAATTCAGCTTATTTACCATAATTCTGAAAAATAAATTTTACATATTGGGAATTTTGAAAAAAAATGGTTCCATAAAAAGATAAGAATGTAAAAGATATAAAATATATTTTGGATGAGTGAAGTTGAGGATATTCAGGTGAATGATTTGTTGATTTATATATATATGTATATTTGTTCCTCATTACTTTCTACTTGTTGAGACCCGCTGGTCCTCACCGTTTTGAGACCCGCTGGCTCCCACTCTCTCCATCCCTACCCTACGGGATATTGCGTAATTAGGCTGGGCCTGAAATTCATCACAAAGAACAATAGAAATTAACCTGCTCAGCTTCCCGACTAGCTCTAAGTTGGGAAAGTTACATCGCCAAAGCTTACGGCGATGTCGCATGTGATCTGCCCTTACGCGGCGTGGAAGACTAGTACGAATTCAAATCCCGAAGCCGAGATCACAACTGCTCGTACGTCCTGACCGAAAGCCTCACTGGGCAAGGGCGGGAGGCGACGAAAAACCTCCTCCCTCAATGAGGGGAAGACTTCTGCCCAAACCAATATTACTCACATTTCAATCATTTACGCAGGTTCGACTGGCGGGGTTTGGACAAGATCCTTCCCCGCCGAACGTGGCTTCCTTAAAACGCCCTTGATACCCATGGCTGGGAGGCTGGGTGGGACCGAGTACGGCTACAGATGAGGTGCGTGGACTGCATCCCCTCCCCACGGATGTCCCCATGGGAAAGGCGTCCCCTCTCGCGCGTGTGACGCTTGACAGGCGCGCGCGAGGCCAACAAGTTACTGTTCAAGGCCGAAAGGGTGGGACGGGACACCCACAACATTCCCTGGTTGTTCTCCAGTTGAATGTGTGTGGTATCAGGCAGAAATCACACGAAGTAACCAAATTACTCCACGAACGCAATGTGGATGTAGGGCTCTACCTAGAAACGTTGCTTCACGGCAAGCTGTTTCACATTACTGGTTACTCACTCTACCACTGTAAGTGTGATCGCTGCCATGGCCATACCACAGCGGTACGAAATTACCTCGCAGTGGAGGTCATTGAGTCGAAACGTTACGCAAACACTGACACGTTGTCGGTTAAAGTCACCAAGTGTGGGAAAACGTTCGCCATTTACAATTCTCCCAGCAATGCGATCACGATCCCTACCCACGGGGAGACAATCTTTAAAAGGACTATTATTGCAGGAGATTTAAATGCCAAATCCCCCATGTGGGGTTATCCGGAGAGGAACGTCTCCGGTAAGCACGTGGAAGAGGTCTGTCTTGAGACCAATCTTATCAGACTCCAGGACGAAAAGAGCGCGCCCACTCTTCTTCACTACGGCCACGGAACGGAATCAAGGCCAGATCTGACGCTCGTGTCCGCTGATCTCGCGGGACATCAGAATATTAAATTCCTGGAGGAAATCGGGAGTGACCATCTTCCCCTTTACTTGAGATTGACTTAGGTCAGGCCAAAACCAAGTGCGAAAAACGCCACTGGCTCGTCTGGAGGGCCAACTGGGGAAATTTTGAAAGTCAGTGCGAGACCAAGCTCAGACTAATAGCAGTCGACGTGGCCGATTCAGACTTAGATGTTGCTTTCGAGACGTTTAATGGAGTTAAAGTGTTGGAGTCTACACCTATCACGTCGCAGTGCGAGTGACCACACACCGCGCAGTGAATATTATTAGTAAATATTACTTTAGCGATGAGTTTTTTTTTTTTTTTTTTTTTTTTACAGGGCCCTCGCTTTCACCTTTTGCTAAATTTCTGTTAATTTTTTTTTTTTTTTCAGAACTCAATCAACTTTAGCTAAATGTCTGTTAATTTTTTATTTTTTTTCCGAACTCAATCCCATTCAACGCCGGGTATATTGCCAATATATATATATAGGTATCCTAAACCATCAAGTCCCACGTTAAGATTGAGCCAGAGTATTCTTTAAGATGACACAACTTTAAACACCCCGTCCCAGTTCCGTGTAAAAATGATATTTTGCTAGTGTCATTCTTTTTAGCAGACTTAAAGATACACTGCTTTTAGTCCTGAATACTTTGCCAGAATCAAAAGTTTCTTGATTATAAGTCATTTTTAATTGTGTGTTATTCATTATTTTCTGTCTTTTTTTCTTCTTTTTTTTTTTGCCCAAAGCATCCAGCCAATAGTCTACTGTTTTTTTATTTTTTTATTTGGTCTCTCTTCAGGTTGTCCCATATCCTGTGTGCTATATTTCGTACTGCTTCACTTGAACAAAGTCATCCCTTTTATCATGCTTTTATTTTTATACAAAATTTTAGGGCTACATTTAATTTTTCTCACACTTTTTACTCTCCCCAATGTTGTTTTTAAAGCATTTTGTTTGAATTATTTATATTGTCAAGATTATCCCATGTACCGTATTGAGGGCACGGTATATTAATAAATAACTTGTCATTTGTTCACAGCTATATCTGCATCTCCTGAGACACCAGTTGGTGCTATTGTTGGGTCCATAATTGCTGTCATCGTTATTTGTGTTTTCATCTTATTGGCGGTCGTGTTTTGGAGGTAATACCGGTAACTGATTAAGTGAACATACATTTTGTTGGACTCAATTTCAAGGACCATGTTTTTTTTTCTTAACATAAGTTGCCAATGATATTTTTTGTAATTATAGTCAATAATGTATATAAGTTGGTCGAAAAGAGATAATTTTCTAGCCTAACTCATTTTGTTTTAAATTTACATTTTAATAATTAACGTAAATCAAAGAGTATGAGTTTCAAATGTGTCCCTGATTCCTTTTTTTTTTTTTTAAAAATCAGAAGACGTCAAGCTTTTTTAAAATCTAAAATGAACCAAGGAGTTGAGATTAAAGAGCAAAACAGATCTTCAACTTTTGATCGCATGGAATTTAGTGACCTGGAAAACACAAAAATAGGTATTAGCCTTTGAGTTTTTTTTTTGTTTTTTTTTATATTTTTTTTTATACACTACTCGTTTTTAGGCATATCAAATTTTATTTTTTAAGGCACCATGAGCTCAAAGTTTATGTAAATGCAATGCGTAAAAGAAAATAGTGTTGTACTGGGCTTCAAAGCTCAAAATAATTTATTGTAGGACAATTTTTTTTTTATCTATTAAGGGGGCAGTCTACCAAATTTTTTTTTTTTTAATTAACCAACTTAGAGCAATTATTTTATTATGGTCATGTTAAGCTATGAATGGAGATATATTTTCATGCTTTAAAAAAAAATTAATTATATATTTGCCATGGCAACGGTGGCCATCTTGAAAATAATACCCATTCGTAGAGTTCTAAAATTTTAAAAACAAACATACATATTGCTTAAAAATTGATTGATTCATGAACTTCAATTATATTTAGAGGTACTGAGCTAGTTTAATTTCCTTTAAACTTTTCAAAACATTTTTTTTTTAATTTTTAAAATTTGCCTCGGCAGAAAACGCTTAAAATTTACCATCCTAGGATATGAAAAATTTTTTTTTAACAAAAGTAATTGACCGAATTGATTTTTGAATAGCTCATTACACACAAAATAGTTAAAGAAAGATACACACCAAATTTTATTACTCTAGCTTGTATATTAGCTGAGATTTTAGAATTCTACGTTACAAAACAACAGAAAAAAAACAATTTTGAGAAAAATCAACTTTAAACTTTAAAAGTGAAAAATTTTAAGTTTAATATGAAAATGAAGTTCTTTTACATAGTTTTTTTTTGTTCAGCAACATGGACATGGTGGTTTCTTATATTATTGAACTGTTGAATGCACTAGGAACATGGGTTTTAACTTCTTGAACTTCATCAGGTGCTCTCGTCAAAATCACAATTTTAAACAAAAAATTGTTTTCCTCTGGAATAAAGCTAATTTGTGTTGTATTAGAATTTTTTGTTCAGCATTATAATATTACACAAGTTATCCAAAGTCCCCAATCAACCCTTTTGTCCATGATCCTTTTAACCATGCTTAGATGACAAGGTTATGTTGCTGTCACCATCACTGAAATTGAAGCATAGTTTTATGGCAGCAATGCTATGTTGAAACTTTTGTACCTATTCTGTGTACTTATTTCATCAAAGATGTCCCTCATACCAGAGATGAATGAGTTATTTGTCTATTAGAAATGTAATAATTGGGCAGATACTTGCTCATAAATGTTTCATGTCTTCGGCATAGTGCAGTTTTTATACTTTGTGCAGGTTGTAAATGTTGCGGTGCAGCTGGATTGTTTATCGCAGATATCATAGATTGCAACTTTTCGTAGGCGCCCGAAAATATCTAAAATTTTTAAAAATTGTCCATTTTTTTATTTTTTCATTTTTACGAAGATGAACATTCTTAGAAGCGATTACATATCAATTGATACTACTTTTTAAAAGATTTTTTGTGAATTAACTGATATTTAACACCCCACCCCACTCTAAAAATTGACCTAATTTTGGAAATAAAATAAAATTCATACATATCCCATGTTTGAGACCTCAAAAAACTAGTTTTAAATAACAAAATATGCTATTATTATATATCAACGTAAAGGTAAATTCAATTATTTAGAAAGTGTACGGTGTGCTTTTAGGGCTATTATCAACAAATACATCTTGATCTTTTTAAATTTATTTTGGCTACCAGTGTTTTGCTTTCACTGACCCTTTCTAAATCTGGTTGGGATAATATATTTATTGAGCATACTTCTTTTTTTTTTTTTTTTTTTTTTTTTTTTTGTTTTTTTTTTTTTTTTTTTTTTTTTTTATTTGGTTTTATTTTGTCTCTTATTTACAACAAATACCTCCAATTCTATTATTTTAAACTGGTAACTTTTGTAAAATATTCATCAAAATTAGTGTTTTTTGGAGTTTTTTTTAACTGTATTAACTCAGCCTATGACGTCCCTACTTAAATTCCGATCGTCATCTTAATAGTTGAATTAATTTGTAAATGTTTACTGGTTTACTGTTGTTGTTTTATAAAAAGACAAAAAGTAACAGCAGAAGATCGTTCTCTGATTAAAAAGAAAAAAATAATATTAATTGAGAATTAAAAAAAAAAACAATGGGGAGTTATGCGACTTATTAATGTATGTTTACATAAAGAATGGATTAACACAAGTCTTAATGAATTAGTGCTTGGTTAAATAAATTTAATGAGATGGTTTGATAACATGAAATTCAGTAAAAGGATGCCTGAAGTCAGTTAGATCAATGCACAAGTGTGAGTGAGGTGATCTGCAACAATTACGATGATCCTCAAAGTCACACGAGTCCATAGACAATGGAAGAATACACTGGAATATCACGAAGAACGTTGCAACTTATTGTAAAATAATATCTTCAACTTCAAAGGTGGAAACGCGTAATATGGCAGGTTATAAAAAAAAAACTGCAAATTGCAAAGCCGTGAACGAAGTCAAGAGTTACCACTTGATAGGTTTCCAAACAAGAGACATATACAAGACAGTTGGTTTGGAGACAAAACACGCTTATTCTTGCCACACCTATTTATTCTCAAGATGGCCATTGCTATTTTGAAGCATGTATAAAACAAAAATTTCTAGCAACGATACTCATACCGGTACGTAAAAATATTCAAGTCAGTCAGGACGTTAGAGTCTCGGTCGGTGTGGTGTTTTTGGAAAATTCTATTTCAATAAACAGTTTCTGGCGGAGACCCCGGACCCCTCTTTAGCTGGAGGGTATCGCCCCCTCCCAAACCCTCCTTGAGGTGTCCCGTTTTTTTCCAGTTCTTTTTTTGGTCACCTTATCATAGACCAACATCTTAACTTGTACCGTAATATAATTGGATGTATTTTTTCCAAGTAACACATAAATTGCGAATTACTAATTCAATTAAAATAGTATCTCTTTTATGATTAATTTACATGAAGCTGTAAAATGTATAAAATAAACTTCTAAAATAGTTAATATAGATAAATAAGTATTCCCATTATAAACATCCACTGTTCCTAGAACTAGATCTGATAAAATTGCATTACTTAGTTAGTTATGTTAGTATTGTATTAAAACGATTACCAATGTTTATATTAATGTAGATTCAAAGATATTAGATAAAAGCTCTACTTTTCCAGCGGCTGAAGCGATTTACAATAATGTCGCAGCTTACAAAGTTGTTGACAGCCAACCTATTGCTGTCAAAGATCTGAGCACATTTTTGCATTCCCATAAAATGGATTACTTTGAAAACCAATATAAGGTATTTGTTTCTGGAAGATAGTATCTAGACTCTCTATGTCTATGTCATGTGATAGAGGGCTATACTGAGCTTATACTTTGATAAAGAATGATAGACTTGGCAAGTTGGAAAAATAGGGTAGTGTATAGTATAAATAAATAAAAACAGCTCATGTTTTAATTTTCATATGTAAGCCTAAGCAAAGATTTGTGATGGTTGTAGATAATTAGTTTAAAAAAATAATATGGTGCTATTTGAAAATTAGTTAAAGGCAAAATTATTATTTTCTAGAATATAATATTTGGTTAAGTAGTCTACTTTTAATTTTCAGATTATACATTTCTAAATAATTTAAAAGATTAATTTTAAAAAAAATAATATTTTATACTTATAAACTAAGTATCCATGCTAATCCAACCAAAAGTTTCTTTTATTAGAAACTAATTTTTTTCCAATATTTTTGTACATTTCTGTGCCTAGCAACAATTTATATTAAATTTCAACATGTTATGCAGAAAATACCAGCACCAAAAAATGTAACAACAGAAATGGGAATGAATTCGTTAAATAAGCACAAAAATCGTTACAAGAATATTTGCCCATGTAAGTAAAAGTTTGTTTTTTATAATTAAAAATTCAAATTCTATATTTTAAATTTATATTTGAGGTACTGGGAAATTTTTTTATTTATTTCAATAAAAAATATATTATATAATAGCGTCTTCCCAACTTTATCCTTTTATTTTATTACTTTAATTTTAACAATTTCTAAAATTAAGGAAACTAGACATTTGGTTCCCAAATTTTTAAAGTCACCCATTACACTTTCACTAAATCACAAATTGACACTTAAATACTTAAACCCCCTGATCTTACATTAAAAAAAAATTAAGAAATTGTGTATTGTATTGAAAATATTATTTTCATGATTATTTAATAATTACACATCTGAATAATTACACATCTGATCTTTAGATGACCATTCTCGTGTCCATTTGGAGATAAACACAACAAAGAATGAAGAGGACTATATCAATGCTTCTTATGTTGAGGTAGCCTACGCTTTAAGTCAACTTTATCCATTTAATTCCAACCAATTTTTAATTTAGTCATTTCAATTTTATTAAATAAAATAACTTTTCTAACATTTTTAAAGCAGTGTTAGCAGAAGCTTAATTAAAATATCATTGTTATTCTGTCCGCCTTTATGGATATGACAATAAGGCCTCATATGGAGTAATCTACTGAACAGTTTGTGATACATCAGTTTGTCTGCCTTTTCTTTATTTTTTCAAGCACTTTCTTCCACTGCTGGCTTGCTGGACCTGTCATAGCGAGTTTGCATTGGAATTTTCCTCTCTTTGTTAGAGGTCTGGAGTTTGTTTTTTTATATTCTCTCTGGGGTTCCAAATTCAGTCCACAAGTTACTATTTCTTCATTAAATTGTCATTTGTCACATATTCATGCAACAGCCTATTTAAAAAAAAAATTATGATGCTGCTTATTTTATTTTTTTTAACAACAGAGATACATTATATATAAAGTTATTGAAAAGAGAGACTGAGGAAATACTTTGTTGTGACACAGAAAATTTGAGGGACCATTATCATAAAAATAACACTAAGGAATTTGGAATCATTTCTCATTTTATCAGTTGCCTTAAAAAAATTTTTGCTTGCTTTGAACAACATTTTTCACTTCATAAAACATCACAGCTGTTAGCTGTTGCTTATTACTCTATAACTATTAAAAGATTTCCTTTTAGATTTCCACTAATTTGTTCTCATAATTTTAGTTGTTTTATAATCTTATTTTATTACTTTCTCAAGGGCTTCAATAAAGATGACAAATTCATTGCCTCACAGGGTTAGTAAACAGAAGGTTACCCCTTTAATTAATATATGAAACAAGCCATTACTTTAAACATCTTAATATAAATAAAATGGTTTCTAAACAAAGTTGTCGATTCCCTTGTATCTATTTCTGCATTTTTTATTATTTGTAGGACCAAACAAAGTCATTCTTAAGGATTTTGTAAGAATGTTGTGGGAACAAAGAGTTGATAAGGTTGTCATGCTCACAAACCTTATTGAAGAGGGAACAGTAAGTAGCTAATCTTAAAAGTAACAGTCTTCTTTAAATCAAAATTTATTTTTTATAATTTCCGTTTCTGGAAATCTATCCTAAATAAATAAGTAAAATTGATGGTTTTTAAAAAAATGTCCAATTAAAAACAAATACAAAATGGCTAGCTTTTAAATCTATTTTCATAATATTAAATTAAGTCATTTTTAATCTATGCTTTTTTTTACTGTAAAAAAATATGATAGGTTAAGTGTGAAAAATACTGGCCAGATGATGGAATTTTACAATTTGGTGAAATTCAAGTGAAAATGATTTCCACAGAAACTTTCGCAGACTATGCCATAAGAGTTCTTGAACTTTCTAGGGTTGGTGTCCATTTCTCAAACATGGTTTTCTAATTTATAATTTTCACATTTTAACTTTGTACTTAAATGTGTTAATTGCTTTCTTTGTTCTATGCTTTAATGGTTTGATAAAATTATTTCATTTGTAAATATTTATCTCTAAAGATTAAAATATGTTACATATTTAATCAAATAAAGTGGTTAAAAGAATTGATATTGTAGTTTTTCTAATAAATAAAATTCATATGTTGTTTAACCTTTAAAAAAAGTAAACAATTTAATGAACCAGATGAACTATAGGAAATGAATTTATTTAACTTTAGCCTAGAGAAGCAGGTCGAACATTCACTCAATTTCACTTCACTACTTGGCCTGACAAGGGTGTACCTGAAGTACCTTGGGGTTTAGTGGACTTTGAACAGAGAGTTTTTTCTCAGCCTACAAGCAGGCCAATTGTTGTTCACTGCAGGTATTTAAGCAACTTTTAAAGTTGAGACTTCATGTAATGTTTTTATTACCACTACAACTCTTCAATTTTTTATTTAATAGGCCTAAATAGAGAGGGCTACATCATAATGCTTCTTTCTTTATTCTTTTAAGAAGCAAACTACTAAGTTAATAAAAAAAAAGTGCTTTTATAATTATATGATTTGATGTCATAAAATGTTTGTTAGCTAAGAACTTTCAATGTGTTAGAGAAGCTTGAATATAAGCATTTACAATTTGTTAAAACAAATTTAATTGCCGATTTAAATATGTCTAGGAAAATATTATTGAACAAATTACTTTTTAAAATTCATTCAAAGCATTTTCTACTCATCCAAGATTCACATCATATGTAATCACAAATTGTTAAAGAAACACTTTTATATTTAATCAATTTTTATTTATGTACCAACTGTTTGTATTTGTATTAATAAACTTGGAAAATATATTCAAAACTGATTTCTTACATTGCTACACAGTTCTTTAGGCAAACCTTTTTTAATCAGTTTAATACTGCTGTTCCTTTTGCTACTGATTCAAAATTTCATCAAAAGTATTTATATTTTGAATACATGTTGCTAGATTAAATATCATTTTATACCAAGCTCTTTACTAAATTCTAATTCTATAGAATTCATCAAATGAGAAATTTTAATGTAATTCCCAAGCCAGCCAAAAACATATAACATAACATTCATAAAGCTAATGTAAAAAAATATATTTTTAAAATACATTATGTATTTTTTTTATTATATTTTATTCAGTGCTGGAGTTGGCCGTACAGGGACTTTTATTGCACTTCACAACGTCATGAGAGAAGCAGAGCAGACAGGACATGTAGATTTTTTCAAAACAGTTGTCAAATTAAGACAGGACAGAATCTTAATGATCCAAACAGCAGTAATTTTTTTTCTATTTACTCACTTAATTTTGTATGACTAAAATGTACCTTAAGGCTTTGGAATTTGGGGATTTAAATTAACACAGGTATTTGTTTAGGGTGAGTAGACAATTCCCAGAGTGAGGCTTTGATTATCGTGCATCAAACTCTTTAGGACCCTTAACCCCTCCCCATGCCGTTGAGCATTTCCCTTAATCAAATCTTAACTGACCCACCTGGACCACACTGGCATTAAACCCATATTTCAAATACTCTAAATTGGCCTGAAACCCCACACTCAGCCACCTTTAGATCATCCTCCCAACCTTTTTCTCAACATCTCCTCTCACCTATCTGCCAACTTTACATTTTATTTTATCACCATTAACCCTAATCTTAACACTGTACGCCAAGCAACATGAAATATTGCATATGTGAGATTTCACTGAAGCTGATTATTTTTTTTTTACACCATTAAGATTTCACTACTCGAAATATTGTTTACCTTTGTGCTATCTTCATTTAAATTTAAGCTACTGATTTTAAATGAATTGTTTAAGCATCAAAACAAAAAAATTACTTTTATTTTAATTCAATAAAATGCTACTTGGAGTAGTTTTAATTTTTTTATGACTAGTACAATGTTTTTTAAATATATTTATAAGGTTTTTATCTGTATATTTCATCTTTCTATTTCACCAGGAGCAATACTGGTTCCTACACAAAGCTGCCCAAGTTGCCATTTTGTGCATTGGCACAACAGTAACATCTGGTAATATTGTAGGGAGAATTAAACATTTGGAAGAGACATCTTTGACAGGAAAAACTAAAATGGAGGCTGAATTTAAAGTAAGCAAATCTAAAAGGAACATTACAATGTTTGTCATATAATGGAGTTAAAAGCCAATATTATACATTTTGTAAAATCTTCTTTAAATATTGCTTATAGTTTATGCCACTAGATGTTGTTTTAATGTATAACATAGGAGTTGTTGGTGAATTTATTATGATATCACATGATCATTACTTTTTTTGGAGAAGTTAATTTTTATTTTTAAGAAAAAAGAATTATTTAATGGGGAAAAAGTATTTACGAAAGTCAGGTGCTAGTGCAAGTCCCTATCACCACTCGTATCATAAATGAGTCCTTAGCTACTGGTATTGTTCCATCATCTTTTAAAGAGGCGATCGTCACTCCACTATTAAAGAAATCAAATCTTGACCCAAATGTGATGGAAAATTATCGCCCCATCTCAAATCTACCATTTATATCCAAAATATTAGAAAAAGTCGTTCTCCGCCAACTCCTGGATCACCTCATTCAATATGACTTGTTTGAACCATTCCAATCAGCATACAGGGCGCATCACTCTACTGAGACAGCCCTGTTGCGCGTCGTAAACGACCTTCTGTCGTCTTGTGATGAGGGCCAGGTATCGATTTTGTCTTTACTCGATTTATCGGCAGCTTTCGATACGCTTGATCACGGCATACTGCTCCAGCGTCTGCAAAAAACGTTCGGTCTCACTGATACCGTCCTGAGTTGGTTCCGATCATATCTGACTAATCGGGTCCAGTCAGTTATTTCAAACGGCCTGACTTCGAAAAAATCAAATATCGAATTCGGAGTACCCCAGGGCTCGGTCCTAGGCCCGGTGCTTTTCACGATGTACATTCAGCCCCTGGGCGCAGAGATCCATCAGTTTGACATGCAATACCACATGTTCGCAGACGACACTCAAATTCATCAATCCGTGCTCCCCTCTAAGTTCCCTCAGCTGCTCACTATGACACAGAAGACAGTTGAATCAGTTAAACTTTGGATGACCATAAATAGTTCCCTCAGCTGCTCACTATGACACAGAAGACAGTTGAATCAGTTAAACTTTGGATGACCATAAACAAGCTCAAATTGAACGATGATAAGACTGAGCTGCTCCCCATCGCGACAGCTCAGAAGCAGAAATCTGCAAATAACACGACATCAATTACTCTCTCAGGTGTGCGTATTGAGTTAGCTGAAACAGTGCGGTACCTGGGCGTCTACCTAGACAGAAGACTTACCTTGGAAAGTCACATTAACATGCTATGCAAGGCGATTTTTCTAGAGCTGCGCAGGATTAGCCACATCAGGCCCTTCCTAACAATTGATGCAACGAAGAGGCTGATGTCTGCATTTGTGCTATCACGCATGGACTATTGCAATTCTCTCATGGTGGGTCTTCCAGCCATGCTCATTGATAAAATTCAGATAGCACAGAATAATGCGGCTCGAATTGTTCTCCGCAAAAGCAAGTTCGACCATGCAAATTCAATTCTGAGAGAGTTGCATTGGCTGCCGGTGCGTGCTCGCATAGAGTACAAAATCGCAACTTTGTGCTACCGCTGTCTACATGGCCTGGCGCCATCCTATCTGAAAGAGCTGCTGACGCCTTATGTACCAACCAGACAACTCCGCTCATCCGACAGTGGCAAACTCTTTACACCACGTGTTCGCCTTGAGACTTGCGGAAAGCGCACTTTCGCGTTTGCTGGTCCAACAATTTGGAACGCCCTTCCACTCGATCTCAGAAACATCCAGACACTGGAGTCTTTTAAAACCGATTTAAAGACACATTTATTTCGCAAACACTTACTGGGATGATTGTCTACCATATTTTCCATTTAATGCATATTAGATGTGTTGCTCACGGTTGAAATGGGTTGAAAGACTTTGAAATCGTATGCTTGTAATTAGTTTTTGTAGTGTTGCGTTTGTTTTAAATGTGGTAAATTATAGATCTGTTTTTTTGTTGACTTTGTACCGCGCTTCGAGCCTTTGGGGATGAAGCGTGTTTTTGAAATGAACTTTATTATTATTATTAAGTTTCTTTTTTATAGTTTAAAAAGTATATTTATGTATTTTTTTTCAAAAGTTCAAAGGTTTCAGCAGAAGATATCACAATATCTACCCTGACCTATGCTCATATACATGTCTTAATCATGTATATCAGTCTCATCAGAAGATATTGTATAAATCAATTTATAAATGAGCCACTATGCAACATGCAATGTTAAAGTAGTACCCAAAAATTATTTAATTTAGAAGAATTACATTTGTTAGGGCACATAATCTTGAGTTTTTTAATGTTTTTAGAACTCACTTTCATCATCTGCTAAATGTGTTTATATTATTATGTTTTTATTTTCAAATTTCTTTACAACTTCATTTAATACTTAAATATAAAGTTTAAAAAAATGAATGTTGAGCAGATATACATTTTAAAATTCATTTTACATCAAACTGTTCTTTTACTTTGATATTAATTTGTTAACTTTTTCTCTTTAGGCAGTCTCAACTGTTTGTGAAGATTCTAAACAGGACTTAAATAATAGAGCAAATGAATCACCAGAAACAGATGGAAATGTTTACCAGAACAGTGATGAAATAATTGATAAATTGAAAAATAGATTTTCAAACATAATTCCTAGTGAGTATTTGTATAAACATAAAATATAACAGATGAAATTATGTAATATAAAGCATCATTCCATTGATGCATGGAAAAGATTTAAATTTTAGTGAAATAAAAGGGTGATAAATGGATCAACAAAAACTTTGATAATTGTACAATACCATTTGACTTTGCACATGAAGTGAGTGTTTTTAAAGTGTCTGTGTAATCAGCACTAAAAAGATAATTCTATTTAAAAAACGCCTATTAGTATTTAGTGTAATGGATATTTGTTAATGTTATTGATGTACAAACAAAAATTAACACATTCAATCAATTTAAACAGGAGAAGAATACACCCAAATTATGATTTCCGAAATTTTTATTACTTTGCTTGTTAAGTCAGTTATCAGGTTTTTTAGAAATAATCTATTTGATTTGGTTGTAAGTTTGACTTTTTCTTGTTTGTTCTTTTCTTTGTAACCAACAGATCAGAAATACAGACCCTTCTTGGCGTGTGAGACAAGAGACATGAAAGATTATATCAATGCTGTTTTTCTGCCAGTAAATTCATTATAATTTTATATCGATATAATTATGTGTCAATTGATTTATAGGAATATCCTTTTTATAAGTAAGAACATCTAACCAAAATTTTTTTCAAAATTCAGCATATTGTTATCCCTTTATTTGTAAAATATCTTTTTGTCCAGAGTTGAGAAAGTGTAAGGATTTAATAAAAAATTATTTAAAATAAGTAAAAAGGTTAATCGCGCAAATAGAAGAAATGATTGCTACAAAAATAAAAATAAAAATTCATAATTTTTTTTAGGGTTTTAAGAAAAGAGACCAACAACTGCTCACACAGCTTCCAATGCCCAAAACAGTTGTAGATTTCTGGCGGCTAGTCGCACAGTACAGTATTTCACTTATTGTTGCTTTTGATGTTGATGCCATGCTGACAGATGAGGTAAGGAGGAAAAAATGTGTAAATACTACTGACAAATAGCTTCTTTTAATAGAAATGTTATTGGATTTTTTTTTTTTAAATTTAAATAAATATGCAAATGTTAAAAATTACTTTGAGAAACTCACTTTTAGTAAGGTATTAGTTTAATTTGCTTAATTTTAAAAATTTTTATTACTGTCGTAATTAGTAGATCCATCTTTTAGGTATTTTGAAATTTCTGCAATCATTGTATCTTTATGTTTTAAATATAAAACAAAGTCATCAATCTTTCTCCCCAGACGTTCGGTCACTATTTACCACAAGGTGCTGACCAAGGGCTAAAATGCTCACCATTTTTAATCACATTAAAGGATATCAAAAAGTCAACTTTATGGGAGGAGCACAAACTGATGGTAGAAATAGAAATGAGGAAGTCACTACTGTCCCCCTCACCAAATGTAAGATTTTCAGACACAAATTGCTCTCTCTATCCTATTGCATTGCTACTACGTTTATTTGGATTGAATGAAAACGAAATAAAAATTCATTGGAAAGCGGTAGTTTTTTTTTAACCCATACACAATGGTCTAGGATGTGAAATTTAGCTCAGAGTTATTTCATTAATTAATAATTTAAAATGATTTTTTTTATATTAGCATAAAGGTATATGACATGCAGGAGTATTAACAAATTATACTAAACATGATTAAATGATTTTTTTTTCCTCATTTAATTATGTGCAACAAGGCAATAAAGAAAAAATCAAATGAGGTTTGTTTGAAAATTTAAAACAATGTTAATAACTATGTCTTTAGCATAAAATAATTTATTTTAATATATTTCCATCTCAGAACAATGAGCGCCAAGAGGTGATCCACCTTAAATGTTTGTTGACAGACTTGGACCCTGATAAGCTTCTGTCCATTCTAAGACAGATCAGGTCTTACAATGCACTAACGAATGGCAGAATTGTATACACTTGCAGGTCAGTCTCCATTAAATTGTGTAAGTCAAAAGTTTTGTTTTAGTTTTTTTTGTTGATTTTCTTTTTACAACCATTCATTTTGTTGATGGGAAATGGCAAATCTTTAGGTGACACATAAAACAAAGTTATTCAAGTGTTGTTATTAATTGTTTTAAGGCTATTTTATTTATGTGATGGAGCTTTTACAGGGGAAAACTGGTAATTGATTTTTAAAAAAAACTCTATTTAAATTAGGGATGGTGCAAAATACAGTGGTCTGGTCTGTGTGCTGTCCCTGTTACTGGACAGAATGGAACACGACTCTTGTCTCACAGTTCCTCTGGTTGTTGGCATGATAAAGACCATAAGGCCGGAGGTCATTCCAAATTTGGTAAAAAATTGTTTTAACCGCTTTTTTGTTTGTTTTATTCTTTGAAACACTCTACGACATTTAGAGAATCTAATTTAATTTATGAATAAAAAATTAGACATAACTACAACTTTCATGGGCAGATCATTTATTTAGCATAACATTTAAAATATAAGATTTAAAAAGAATTCTTTTATATTTAAGAATCTGTACATTTTAATGAAGACTTTTAAGAGTGATGGTTTAATTTGCTACCACATATTCCTGGTACTTTGTGCCCAATGACCTACCATATGTTTCCATATAATTGTGTGAAGCTAAAAATACATTTTTTTTTAAAAATATATATTGTAGATTAAATTTAACAGCAACTATTAAAACATAAAATGTTCACAGGATCAGTACAGAGTGCTCTATGATGTACTGGGAAGATATTCTGACAACACTGTCACATATGGTAACATAGGGAATGTTGCACAAAATGGTGCTGTTGTGTCAAAAGAAAATGCAAAACCATCTTTCAATGAGGAACAACATACAAACATATATGCTAATTATTGATTTGAATTCATCAAGCTGGATGATGGAAATATTTTTAAAAAAAACAGAGCTTATTTAAAATTTTAAATGCTTTAATATTATTTATAATGGGCTGACATTTTGATCACAATTCAATCTTAACAGTACAAATCAGTTCATTTTAAATTATTTGTCAGCTAAATGACTTATAAAACACTATCCACGATATTGTAAAATTATTTGCTTTGAGACTTAGTACAAATGAATAATTTTTATAATTACATTAGTAATAAAAGTTTCAAATATTAGAATAAAGAGATTTGTTGACCAAAAACATACCTGACACAAAAACAATATACCACTGTGAACAAGCCTTTAGTTTTTTGTTTTTTTTTCCACCTTTGTTAGCTTTTATCCTAGATCTGTTTGCATCTTTTAACTTAAAACTGACCTTGACTGCTTTAAAGTAGGCCTGTTGCCAAAAAGAAGTTCTACTAGTGAACTGGTTGCAAAATTCATTATCATATAAATTATGTGAACGCCTGTTGCATTATTTATTCAGCGTTAAATTATTCATAAAATGTAATTAAATATTTTTTTAAAAGAAGTTGTGTTTATATTCTGTTACATGTACCGGTATAAACTATGTAATTTTTTATGTTATTTTTTTATTTTTAGTCATTAGTAATAAAAATAAAAATAAAATTTTGACAATCGAGTTAAAATAAAAAATATGTTAGATTGAGCATTTAATTGGAACCACAATCAAACTTGTGATTTAAATAAGATAAGATAAGATGATTTTATTGATCCAAAATCAATGGAAATCAATTTCTCTTAAGTACTTTGCACATATTGTTTTCAGGTTTTGAAAGTCTTTGTCTGAGTTTTTACAATTCTCTCCGAAATTTGCCTGGAGCAATGTGTCTGTGAGGTGTGCATACTCTGGATTGAATCATTATAATTGTTTTATGACCTTATAGCTTGCTATTCTCGTAGCATATTCTTGATATTTTGTTATAACCATTTACATGTGATAATCTGAACAAGCTACATGTGTCAGTATTATATGTGATAATCTGAACAAGCTGCATGTCGTCAGTATTACACAGTCATAACAAAACTTTTTATTCATATATTTAGATCTAAGAAGCATCACCAATGATTGGACCAATGGTGCCTTATTATTTCACCTCCTTTGACATTTAATATAACTCATAAATTTTGTATCTGCATATCATTATCTCAATATTATATTATAACAGATTATAAGATTTTAAATAAAAAATAATCCTTTCTCCAAATCGTTTCTTAGACAATAAACAAATCAGGCCAAGTTGAACCAATTATGTTCTTGCATAGAACATGTGTGAGGTCTGCAGGGCTTTTCTTTCACTGATAACGTATTGTAATTGTACTTTATTTATATTTATGCTATTTATTACACATGTAAATACTTATGGTCCTTTTGATTAAAAAATACTGTATTTTGACTATTAAAATAAAGTAAAAACCATTTTTTTTAACACCATGTTTTTTTTTCGGACCTTCATGTTCTGTTGTCTGTTGAGATAAGTGATGTCAGACACATAATATTTGTACAAAGAAGACCAAAATTCCATCATTAACTGGGTCCCTACAGCCATTTCATTAAATTACGTCAACAATTTGTAAGCAATTTTTGCCCCCACCCCTTGTCAACAACTCAAACTTTTAATGAACCCCTATTTAATTATGTCAACATTTTCTAACCCCTCCCCCGCCCCCTCCCACAAAAAAAAAGGAATTATCTTATAAACAAATTGATAAATACAGTTTACTTTGTGCTGATCTATTTTAAAGAAAACAAATTCGTTGGAAAACATTTCATTACATCTTTAGCTTGGTAATCAACAAGTTAAAAAGTTTTTACACTTAAAATTTATAAAGCAGAATCAATTGAAAGGTTGTTAAAGACTAAATATAATTATTGTGTGTGGTATACTTATGATTATTGTCAGTAAAGCTGACAATTATAGAATAGTTTCTAGCTACTATCATCTTTCAAAGGAGTAACCAGGTGTGATCTATTGTAACAATGGGCATCAGGGAACCATTTGGGTAGGGCAGAGGGGCATTTGCCCCCACCCTCTAATTTGCAGGTTTTTTAAATTGCTATATACTGTGGCACCTCCAGTAAAAAACAACTTAACAAGCCGACCAAGTTTTGGTTTTGCCCCACCCCCTGAAAAAGAAGGAAAAGACGCCCCTGATTAGCATAGTCTATAGTAGATGATTTAACATTTTCATCTTGCGGCTCTGATATACCAGACAAGTCAACATCACCCTAATCTAACGATTCAGCACTTAAAATAGAAGCATTGTCGGTGTGAGCAATAATTGCCATAAGCTCTCTCTATCTCATAGCAGCTACTCGCATTGGTCAAATCATTTTTTTGTTGAGAAGCCGGTGGTAATTTCGTATGCTCAAGAGGGAATTGTCGCCGTTGTTGAACATGCTTTTTCAACGTGACTTGTGATGCAAAATAGATGTTACAGATTTTGCAAATACAGATTCAGCAATGTCATTATTGTTACTCATGTTACACACCCAATTCTCAAACTATCGTATTCCTACTCTATCAATACCTGACTGCACATGACACTTGAACCTTGGCCTTGTTCCATAACTGCAACAGAATCTACTGGTGAAGAGAGGCCAACTTTTGACTTCTCTCGCACTAACAAAGTGTGCTAACAGTCTGACCAGCCATCTGCAGTGCACAGACACACATTAAATAAATCTTATATTGTTAAAACACTAAAAATTATAAAACTATTTACACTCATTTACACTTATAATTTTTTTTAAATAATGTAGGTAATAACCAGTCAATTTTTAAGATTTAATTTTTAATAGAGGAAACTTGATTGTCGACGTCAACTAATCTAAACCCCTCCCTCCCCCTTGTCAACAACAGTCAGTTATTTCCAAACCCCCTTTCCTATTTTGTTGATGTAATTAATGGACGCCCCCTAAGTAAACACCTTACCATACTCATACATAATACAAGGAAACAGACTTTTAAGTAAACTCGATATTTTTAAAATCCGGTTCGATAATTATACGCTCATGGGTCACGAACGATGCCTTTTCTTGACATACTTGGCCAGGTTTGACCTCAGGGTCTACGCCTAACGTCTGTTGTCTCTTTTAAAAGTGTTATAGTTCAACGTCTGTTGTCTTTCAATCAGTTGTCTTTCAGGGTGGAGATGATTGCTAGCTGCTTGATTGAGTGGTCAGGATAGCAATGAATTTAAAGATAGTTATTATTTTATTTTTTTTAAATTTTGAATACAAATGAAGCTAATGAATGGGGTTAAACATTTTCACTTCCTACATCTTGATAAAAGATTTTAATTACTAATTGTCATAAAAGTCCGTTTGTGTTGCCAGTGTTGCATGAATGTATTTATTTGGAACTCTTCGAAAATGAAGAATATTTTATTTCGGTCTGACTTTGACAACAAATTAATGTTGTAGCAATAATAAATTTGGCATTTTATAAAATTAATTCATGTAAATGTAAGTCTAAGCCTATTTATCTAGAGATGATTTCTAATTCAGTTATGGTTGCTGCACATGGCTTATCGAACATTTTTTTTAGATTCACCTCCCCTTCCTCACTGAAACTCTGTTACGTGAATGCTAATATAGAAGCCGTCTAACAAAAATAAGGAACTACAATTTTTTAACATATATAAATGTAAAATGCACATATAATTATGGCAATTTTGTTCAGAAAATGTGTCTATTGGGCTAATTGGGGAAATAGACTTACCTCTTCATTCACGCGAGTTTGGGGATATTTTTCTGATATTGCTTTAAGTTCTGAACGTAATCAGTAATCATTTACGTATCGCTTTCATTTACACTCATTGACACTGCCAATTAAGCAGTTAAACTCTTGTCGCAAAAAAATGATAGTTTATAATATTATTATCATTAGTCGTTGTTTTATATAGCGTTGTACCCCAGCCTAGGGCTGGGCTTACCACGCTGGACATACAATTTAACAAACATAATCATGAACTTAAAAATTAGCATACCTTAATTAAATAAAACAAAACCAATGTATATTCACTACACACATCAAGAACTATTTACATTTCAAGCCATGTACGTTCATTAATAATCCTTGTTTCTTGTTTTGGTGGGTTTTCTTTTTAATACTAATATTTAAATGTTTTCAAACCATTTGTAGGCGAAGCTTACTTTTTCGTATGTCATTTAAATCCAGCTTTCGCGGGATAAGATCATACATTTAGGGATCATTTCTAAAGTTTGTCTTGCAGAGACGACGAGTAGACCTTGACGGTACAAAAGCCACGATGACGAGATTACATCAGTTCCTCTGAGCGTTAAGCTGGCTCTGAGAATGTCACTTGCTTGCCCCTGTGACATTCTGACAAGTCGTTTAAGTTCGTTACTCCCCTCCTTATGGGAGGTGCGAGGGGAGGGGGCAGAGACAAATTGAGTGGTTTTCGGAAATATTCAAATATCATGAGTGGAAAAAAAAAAGAACTCACTCTTTCAATTTCAAATAAAACCCTTTGAGACGAATACGTTCTCGTCCTCATGCCCCGTTATGTTTTTTTAAAGCTGCTGATGCGTCACATGATCACCGCATCCGTTCGTGGTATTTGCCACGCGAAGGTCGTAAAATAAAAAAATTGAAATCTAAATGTTTCAAGATATTTTACTCCAGGCGCAAACTTGATTAATTTTACTGGCTACTCCATTGATTTATTGATTATTAACGCTTGATAATTCTAATGAAAGCGCAGAGAGAGTGAGGAGAACTGGGGCCACCAGTTGAACATCCGTCAAGTAATGCAGCTGGTGTTAACAAATAAAAAGTTAGAACCATAACATTTGGCTTATTAATAGCAAGTCGAAATGGGCACTTAAAACCTTAGGTTGTATTTATGTGAATGTGATAGTTTTTGTACAATTTAAAAAAAAAAATGATGACTATGTAGGTGAGGAAAAATGAACACAGCGAGTGGTGAAATGGACCATCATGTTGGGAGAAATCGTCACTTAACTAAAAAAGTGGCTTAATTCTTATCTTTACCTTTTTCTAATAATTTTCTCTCTGATGTGTTGAAATGCACGATACAATATGTAATGTAATAAGTTAATAAGATAAGAAAATAATCAAAACCTTTTAAGTAAATTTATTGAACATAACGATACATACAAAATTTAATTTGAGAAAACAAAAACAGATTTATTTAACAATTAAAGAACTCAGGTTTTCTTTTTAAAATAAAAAAAAACATCTTTAATTCTACCTGTCCCTGTCTTTTGTTATGTTGTAATATTGCATTTTAGGCATCCAGGCAATGTCTTCTACGCGTGATCTTATAAATTTGCCAGTCACTTTCTCACTTTTCCTTTAAAATTCTACTTCCTTATCTCCATCTTCATCCACTTCCTTTCTCGTAACAGCAACATAAACCAACACAGACTTTTTTTGTTACACTATACTCACACAGCACACAATCATCTTTCATAACTTCTTCAACATCATTCATTTCAACAGAATTAGTTGTCAAGTCTTTACAGTCAGAAATAAAGTCTCCTCTAAATCAGCATTGCTTATCTGGTCAAAGTCCATGTCAGTGTCACCATCGTCACTTTCAAATAGTTGCTTTGCCTGTGACACCTTTTTGTCTTTAATGGCTTATCTTGCAGCAATTATTTTAATTCAGCGGATGATGTGGCAAACAATGATTGTCTTTCCTTGCTTGTATCATTTTAATGGGTCCTGCTTTAGGTAGCCTCGAAAAATCTCAGGTGACCTAAACACTGATTGGTTGGGGTGTGAAGACTGGTGTAGTTGCAAGGGAGAAGATGATGGAGCTGGTCTATCTAGAGACAGTGTTTTATCTGGACCTGGTCTTTCTGTTATAGCGCTAGTCTATATCTGTGTAAATGCCTTTATTACGAGGCCAAATTCCGCTTGCTTGGAAACCAGACAATATATTTTGTAAATTGTGATTGGTCTGCCTAATTTCCTAAGCATCCACGAATCAAATGAAGCATTGAATGCACTTTTTAATAGTCCAAAAACTGATATGTCCAGTGACTGTATTTTATTTGAGGTGTGCGGCGGCATTGTAGCAATATAAATAAAGTTCTCTTCAGCAAGTACCAATGACTCATAGGATAGGTTGCGATCTCAAAGGCTAATAATTTTACATTGGCTAATGTCAGCCCATGAAACATTTTTGAACATGCTTTCAGGTAATCCGCAAACTCAGTCTCTTGGTCAGCTGTGAATACCATGGGATTTTTGTAATTTGGTTGTAATTGGCTCGTAAAGCCCGATTTTTTTTTAGATTGTTATTCAAAGTTGTGCGTGATATTCCGAATTGTTTAACAGCTGCATGGGTCGACTTTCCCCCTTTAATGGCATCAGCTGCATTTCTCATAACTTTCAAAGGTATTGCGCCCTTATCAGTTTTTCTT